GACCTAATGGCATACAACCGATGCGAGCGTAACAGACTACGAGCGATACGAACCTAACGCGAATCAGAACGTCGACTCACATCACAACAATATCACTGACGAGCTAAGACTAGAAGAGAATACAGACCGCTGACAGAAACCTTTTCACTGTCTCAACAACAGTCAATACAGTTCGCAGAGATGCTGAATATATACGTTTCTAAATGACTCTGACAGCAGAAAATGCACATATAAATAAGAATAGTTAACAATCAATGAGGGTTCAGCCTTGAGGGCAGAGGGAAGAAGAACTAGTAACGGTGTGAAAACAGCCACTTAGGTTATTTTAAGATTCTGGGGATAATAGCAGGTAAAGCTATGGAAAATTAGGGGGGATATAGAACCGCTCCTCCAGGGATCAAACCCTCGAACTTCTGGTGAATATCTGAATGAATTTTAATATGAAAATCATATATCATAAGGAATTCGATAATATCACTACATTTCCATCTTCAAATCTCATATAGTTGACCTTTCTTCCCCATATGGTTTTGTCAATAAGCAAAATGGATAGTTTAGATCCATGTATATTGTGTCACCCATCTCTACTAAAAGGATACCAGCAAAAACAAGTTGACCAACAGATTGACAACTATTTATACTAATGTTTCTTACTTTCTTTGATAACGGAAAAGCAGATGAATGAACATAATTTTTTTAAATTAATGCAATACTGAAGAAATCCTGTGACGCAGTCTACTCATATGTGTATTGATGAAGTACTTGTTCAGGACTGGAATAAGGAACATCAAGTGTCATTTAGTCGAAATAGTCTACATAGTAAACTGGTAGGTTAAATAAGTTTTCAGTAATTCTAAAATCAAAATTGTAAATAGTATTAAATATTGATGTTAGGTATTTGAAGGCAATCGACAGAAAGGTTTGTCTGCAATCCCAAGGACATTAATATTTCCTTAGAGACTTGGACGTACGTCACGCAGGGCTGATGTGCCAACGGTTTCTTACTAATTCCTTCCAACCAGCTAACATCAGTAAACGTTCTGCGTGAAGTTGAGTATCCTAGTTTGCTCATCGCAGTGAGAAATGGTAGACAGAATTTAGCCAATACATGGGAGTTTTTTACTCTCAAGTGATCAATCAAAGTGCTGGACATCATCCTTAATGCTATGGAAAACAGAATGTAATTCTAAGACAGAACAATACTTTGTATAACAAGAAAGAAAGACACAAGGAATGAGACAGTATCCAGGATATAATCAATGCAAAGGAGAAATAATATTACTTGAGAAAACAATAAGACTGTGGAAAATATGTATGACTGAATAAATGGTTACAGTATGATGGCTTGATTGAATGCTTTTCGTGTTTATACAAAGATCAGTTTTCCAAGAGTGGATGTCTAGGGATTTTGCTGGGCAGTAGAAGTGTACTATCTTTATCAGCTTACTTTCGACTCGATAAATCATTCCAATGGTAGACTTTGTTGAAGTCAATTGTCTTATTTTTCTAGATGGTCTGTAATCCAATGCCACCTTTCTACAACAATCAAAGGTGGCCTTCTTAAACTCTTAAGTACTTTTTCCATTCGAAAAACAATACACTGTTACATTTGAACAGGTTCAATAGTGTGCACACGTAAGTGACATTCGAACAGCAGACAAAACTCTTACTTTCACTTATTGGGATATTCTTACTAGGAAGACAGACCTCATGTTCAGCAGCTGGATATCCGTTCACGTTTAATTTTTCTTATGGAAAGTCTATTTGCAAGCGGAGGTGACTTTTACGCTTTTTGGTATTTTTACAAAGTTGTGGTGAATTTTCATTTTCTATCACAAATTTTTCAATAATAGTAAGCGTATTCTATGCGAATATACTTACTATTATTAAGTATATCCTACGCGAAGATTCAACGCAAAAAGGGAGGAAAGTCACAATCATACAATGCTACACTACGCACAAACAAATAATGCAGATGAAGAGAAGAAGGAAGAATTCTACAGACAACTGCAATCAGTATTGGACAAGACCCCTACCCAGTTGGCGACATCAAAACGCATTCTAATGGGTGGGATGATACGAATTCCAGACTTGGATCGGACAACACGAGAAGAGAACTCCTGATGAGTCGAGAATCACTCGATGAGACGAACGAGAATGGAGAACTGTTTGCACAGTTCTGTGCATTGAACGATTAGATGATTGGAGGCAGTGTGTACAAACAAAAGGATATCCACAAAGCGACATGGATTTCACCAGATGGATGCACTAAGAATCAGATCGACTTCATTTCAATCTCAGGAATGTGGAGGCGCAGGCTAGTGGATACAAGATCAAGAAGAGGAGCAGATGTAGGTTCACACCACTCACTATCTAGTGAAAGGAACCAGCCTTCCAAATCAAGTTGAAAGCCTTCAAAGAAGTTGGTGATAGACCACAGTTGAAGTTGAACACACAGAACAGAAAGTGAGGGAGGAAACTTCAAAGGATATCTTCACGTTGTCGGCCACCAGGAAATAAGGGAGACATTGAGCAACATCCCTGAAGGAACCTGCATGGAAGAACACAGGAAGAGCACTCTTTGAAAGAGATGTCGAAAGAAACCTGCATAACCGTATTAGGAAGGAAGAGGTAGGAAGACAAGGAATGGATTTCGACGATCACATAGAAGGTGACAGAGGGGGGAAAGAAGGATGGTGAAGCAGAAGATGAACAAGTGCAAGGATGCACAACAAAAAGACGAACTGAGTACAAGGTAAAAAACACATTCATCAACAGCTGCTACCTACGCTCACTAGATACTGAAGATCAAACGGCCGGAAACAATAAGCAACAAGGAACTCACTGTAGCTGGCAGTCAGGAACCTATCACACAACAAATATGCAAAAGAAAGTGGAGATGGAGTGGGTATACACTAAGAAGGCTGTCTGGAAACATTACGCGCCAGGCCAGGTTGTCGAGTGGGACCCTCATGGGAAATGACGAGTTGGGCGTCTGAGCTGAGGGTGACTTGGAGGAGAAAAATAATAATAAATAATAACATTCTGTGTGAAGAAATGTAGCAAACAGAATTTGTATTTTAAAAATTCATAGAGGTAAACGTACCAGTCTCACCTTATTAGAACTTTAGGTGGTGCCTCAAAGAACTAGGTATACGCGTCATTTGACTGGAAGATTCTTTTAGAAATATGTGAACATTTCGGTATTACATAGTGGTGGTCTGGGTGACTAGCAGAAGAATCCAGGACGCACATTTTTTCCTATTTTGGAACTCTTCAGTTGGATGTACCTATATCCTAGTGAGTATTGTTGTCCCTACAGGGGCTCGAATTCAGTGCCGTTCGGTTTGAACGCCAAACGCGTTCTCCAGTAAGCCACTGAGAAACGGTAGCTGCGCTTTCGTAACTCCGGCGATTCAAACATCCGTCACTCAGTGCTGAATCGGACGCTTTGCCTCTTGATTTGCATCCTGCAAAACTGTTAAAGTATGTGACTCGGTCATGTGTTAGTATCCGATGCATCTGTCCAAAACCGATTTGCTCATTGTTGATTCAAATTTGTCAATCACGTTTTGCAATGTGTCCACCAAGATAAGTGATACAACACTGAGATTCACCGTATTATGCTATTGGGCGTCAATTGTGAGGAAGTACTGAACCTTAGCTTCGCGCTTATTAACACAGCAGTGTCACCTCACTTATCTTATCCGCCATATTACACACTTAATCAATGAACTGAGGCCATTGCAGAGCAGCTAAGTTAGTAACTCAAAAGTTTCCACTCAGTATGCATATATATAATTTGATGAGGCCTGTAAACTAGCTTCTCTCATGTTATCTTCATAACTTGACAATAAAGATACTTATTTATTTATTAACTATCACAATGTCCTTTGTTCCCTGCAATATAATCCAACATGGAGTTTTAGTATTCTCAGTGTTCAACGTCATTAACAGCTCCCTAGTCGATATGTTTTTTTGCTGAATCTCCCAAGTTTCTGACGACGTATGAATAGATAAAACCAAAAACTTGATGAATTGTTGAAAGATTTGCCAGGAAAAAAATGAATCCATGGTTAATGTTACTCGCTTAATGTTAGATTTAAATTCCAACTCGAGGTGTTCAAAAATGTAAAACTTTAATTTATCATTAAACAAAAGGTGAAGTAGAATAATAATTCGACAGGATGGAATGAGATTTTTAACAGAAGTCTTAGTATATTCGAAGTAGATAAAAGAGGATTTAAATGAATATTCCTCCTTACCTGTAGAAGGCGTCATGGTAAACAGCTCACTGACGAGTTACTTAGCGACTTTAGTTTGTTTGGAATAAAATATCCTGAAATGGTGTTGGTATTTTAAGCTATCGTACCTGTGCATGGTATTTAGAGATATTACTTGTCTTTAAGAAGGACTTTGAGACCAAAATAGTTGCCTTTTATATTATGCCCACCGTATTTGCTTGAGTAAGCGACAAAATATTCAATCCCCATGAATAAGCTACTTATTTTTGTAACCTCCGGGACTAGGAAAATTCATGAATGCAAATTTACTAATCATTTGATCATTTTCGTAACGTTTTATCTTATGATTCCCCCTTCTACTTTTCTAATCACATTGGCTCCCGATGTGCACATTTTTTAAAAAGATACTTGTCTACTTTTTCACCTTTTTCTAATGTATCAAGTAGACACAAGAGCATTTCGCTTATAACTATGTCAAACGCCTTACATCCCTTATCACCTTCATCATCTAACGTAAGACATATTTATGGCTTTCTACCCTTGAAGATAATATTTATTTTACTTCTAAACAATATATTATTGACGTAATGACATCGTTATGATTAATAATAAACTGTTACTTGTTTCCGGTGGTTATAAATACAAATGTACAGCTTCATTAAGTGTCAGCAAAACGGAGAACTGAACTATCTTCCCTTTTACTTAAGATTTAGTATGTATCTTTTACCATCTCATAGTTATATTGATCAGAATGTTTTAAAACTCACGTGTTCGTACAAGCTTACTGCAATAAACTAACGAAAATTACAAAACATTAGAAAACACAACTGTCTGTAATGATTTGTCTCTTGAACTGAATTCTACAACTCAACACCAATTATCACGTTTATTTATCTAATAATGTCAAGCGTATCCAAAACAAATGAGTATCTTATTGCTCATCCGACTGGTGAAAATGAAGATTTTCATGTTGAATCACAAATTGTGGCTGCTAGCAGTTCTGTTTATCAGTCAATTGATGAACAATTTAATGTGGGAAAATTAACAAGCACTGAGGTTGCTATGTACAAAGCACGTTATCTAAAGTTACATAATGCTTTAAAAAGGTAAGTGTTAAATTTTATTGTGCATATTTAATCGATTCAACTTGGTGGTAACCCTATGGAGAACACCGAATTTCATCCTGTTTGACTGTCATCTGTTCGAATGGCCTCCTCTCCTATCGGTGATGGTAATAGCATTTGAATCTCCAGAGAGTTTTATGCAAGTATATTATGCTGGTTAACGTTTTTTAAAAGATCACAAAAATGTATGTCAGAATGGACTTAGTGTTTTGATTTATCGTGGAGTCTATTGTCATGCTTTTTGTCAAGCTTTGCTTTAGATGCGCTAAAGAAAGCTTCTCTGTCCTAACTGAAGCCCTTTAAGAATATAGTTTTGCTAAGCATAGATGTTGGTGAAATGTGATATACTATGAACGCTTCGAGAAAAATTCGATCATATTTCACATATCTTTGTTTAATATAAGACAATGAGACTGCAGTTTGTTATTTCCCTTTGGTGTCTGACTTCAACCGAATTTAACGGTCTCTTTTAGTATATGGGCTCCTATGAGGGTGGCACAATGTACTCGATGGTTAGATGGTTAGATTGTGACTAGTAGTGGAGTATGAAACGCATGTTGAGTCTTATTCAGGACTCGTTGGTGGATGTACCTGGAATAGTAGGAACTAAAAAGTCCTAATATTAAACTATACCGTCTCCTAAGGAGTGGCTGTCGTTACTCAGTAGCTAATTGGATAACGCACCACAATTTGGAGCAATGGATACTGGGTTTTAGCATCACTGCAATATCATCGCATAGTAGAATGTAGGTACATCGCAAATAGAATTAAGTGCACTTAGTGGACTGCGCTGTGAGTCACTATATATCATTGTGATAAGATAATTATTCAGAACTAATTTTTAATGGCTCCCATTTAGACCCCATCACTTTATTCATTTCGGAAATAATTTTAATCCCTGTGAGCTGGTTGCTACCATAATTTTTGAACAATTTACAAAAGCTCATCCCATTTTCCTTATTACACCTCATCGATGAAGATTATGAGATATTCAACTGGTTATCAAAGTAGATTGCAGTCTTTTTTTGGCTAACGAAGTATGAGACGTGACTGGTATATAGTACTACTTTTGCTTGGTAGAATAGAATACGGAATGGTGTTCGGGAGACAAATGAGGTGCTATTCAAAAGAAGGAAGGTAAGCTTATGACAGTGTGAACATGCAGTTAATAATCTAACTGAAAAATCTCGTATGCTAGAAAAACTATTATTCTCTTTGACATGATATATTGTTTAAAATGAGATAATATGGTAAAAAAGGGTAAAGATAATGTGATCAACCTATAAAATGTATATAACTCCTCGTTTCGGCCATGTAAAGAAGTGTAGGCTGTTCAGTTAACCATCTCCAGAATAGAGGAATCCATGGTTTGACACTCTCAAGAATGAAGCTCAAAATCTATCACTGTAGTATAGGTGCTTTTATCCTGTCCCTGTTCTTGCTACACTCTCATCTCCATTTTCATCCACTATACCAAATTTTATTGATATTCTGTCTATCTCGTTGTGATGTATGGCAATTTGAAATGCTGCAATTTGTGGCGAGGTTGTACATTTTTACCATTTACGTGTGCATTGTACAATTAATTCAGTCAACATCCATAGATCGTTTTGCAGATTTTGTTTGTAAAATCTACGTTTCACTACTTCGTTTATACAAATTACTGAAATATTCATTTATTTGCATAAAAGAGAAACAGAAATAAGCACAATAAAACTTTTGATGATTGAAAAAGGAAATTAAACTTGCATAAGAGCAGGATTCATACTACTGGCTGCCAGAATTAGTGACATAGCACACTACCAGTTGAACTACAAAACTCAGTTGCTTGAGGTCTCTGGTTCAGATGATACAGTAATCCAAATTTTTATTTTGCTTTCAATCGTCATTCTGCATCAGTAATACTAGTCTGTCAAATCGCTGTGTCACTGTTTGATGCGTAAAACGAATGTATCTAACACCGAATACACCATACAACTCTGAATTCTAGATGTCAGAAAAACCCCCTCTTCAGAAGTTTTATTATGCTAACACTAAACAAGTATAATTTTCCAGTTCATTATGTGACTTATTATTTTCAAAACTACTGAATTTTGTACTTTATTAATTCACCGTATTGTTGATGAATGTGACTGAAACAGAAAAATATCAAAAAGCTAATACTGAGTAGCTGAATAATAGATTTCTAACGAAATATATTGTAGCAATTTTGTAACTGCACTTGGTATTTCGATATCTTTCAAACATCTAGTTATCAGACGCTTCTTTAATATAATGTATGTGTAATCGATTTCCATTAGTCCAAGGCTGCTATATCATATCTAATGTCAGACAAATAACATTCACTTAGTGCATGAATGCAAAAATTAGAGTTCAAGAACAAAACACTCAGGTAAAATAGCATGGATCTGTTCCATTTTCCACCTTTACCTTTAAGCTGCATATAAAGTAGAATATTTAGAACAATAAACTGTAACTCACTACTAAGTTACGCACTAATAGCTGAACCCTAGAAGATGTCGTCCGTTTGCTTTTTATGCATGATTTATCTAAGGTGTATAAACAATGTTCTATTAAGACCTATACCAACAACAGTTAATTCATCTTATTACGAAGTAGCTCACTGATAAAAAGAAAAGCTAGAACCTGTTCATCAACCATCGGCTAGATACACTCTATAAGACTAGTTTCAGTTTATTGAAACCGTAAAAAAACAACATCTTTGGCACATTCATGGTGTTACCAAATAAGATAGCCTTTTGTGAGAAAATTGACAATCTGAAGATAACGGTGAGAGTATTTAAACCTTCGAAGATATCATGGAGTCAACACGTCTGAGTTATTGTGACCGATTCCCAGGCTTCTCGACGAGAGTCCTAATTCATTGATTCCCCTCAGCTTGGGATCCCTAATCAGGCAGTCTACAGCTTGACACACTACTCAGAAAACGTGTCAGAGACTTCATCAGCTGGTAACAGGTGTTTGTCTATCCACACTGAACCCTCCTACAACCGATCCAAATTCCTCTACCATGGCACGTCGAGATAGGTGGTGGTTTGGCCAAGTCATCTCAGTCGACTAAGATTCATAACCCCATCCATCAACTTGCTTTTTTTCCTAGTACACTTCACCTGACTTCAACATTACTCACACGATGATTCCACCATACACGAGCACAGCTACGAGGACATCTGTGATCAAAACCCTGTAATCACTTCGTGTCTCCTACTTGAAGTGTTTCTAAGGTGACTGCAGGTAAGCACAGGAAGCCTTCACAAATACTCTACTTATGTAAGCATTTTTTGTGAACATAGAGAAGGCTAGAATGCACACGTCATAAGTAAATTAGAATTCTGTCTTTCAAAATACCAGAAGCTTACTAGGATACCATGGTTTAATTTACTTTTTACAGTCCTGCTGCTAACATAAAAATTTGCATAAAAGAGTATTACATTGGGATAACCGCTACCCACATGTTAAGTGATACTTTGAATATTATATTGTAGTCTATTAACAGCTAGACTGGGTACAGTTTACAAAGGTTGTTCACACAATTGTGATCTATAACGCTAATGATTCCTCAGCTGTGATCAAACTCTAGGTATCCAGTTTCAGCTCTGACCAACTAACCATATACTGCTATCATATGGTGTACTGGGATCGGTGTAAAGTTGTCAGAATTTACTACGGACTGTTTTCTAACGAATGAAAGCAAACAATATGTTTTATCTTTCAAAGTATCTCTAACCTTTTAATCCGCTTTCACTAATATTTGGTCAACTGAAATCCTTCATTGTATTTTAATATTAAGGACTAGGGACAATGAATTCAATTTAATCCAGTTAACAAAACGTTTTACAAGTCATATAGAAAATCAACAATCTGAATTATCTAAAGCTGATCTATTTCCTGATAATGCATTAACTGTACCATCACAATTACGAGCACAGATTTTAAGTCATTATAATACAGCAATGGAAACGGATGAACGTGTGGAAATGCTACTTTATGAAGCTGGTCTACTTAGAGAAGAACGTAAACTACTAAGTCGTGATTATTCACGTTTACCGACATCCGAGGTGAGTGAATGTGTTGTACTTGTAGAAAAATGACTGAATTTTTAAAACTTGTGGTTAGTATATTACCTTAAAGCAGAACTAGGTCAGTAAGCCTATATCATCTGGAAAGTAGATGCGAAAGTGGATCTATGAATAAAATAGAAGAAAAGAATAGCTAAATGACATATTTTAGAACAGATAAAAAAGATACTAGCTTGAAAAAAAACTATTTCTTTATCTGGTAACTTTTCTTGAAAGACGAATATCTAAACAGTACACTGAAGTAATAAGGTTGGGAGCGGCTGGTCCCGACGGGAGCAACGCCACTAAATGTGAGGCAGATACATCCAGCAGACGAGTCCCAGATACGGCGAGACGTGTGTTCTTAGTCCCAGTGCTAGCCACTATGCATCATTGATACACTTAAGTATCATTCCGTTCTTAAAATGTTGGCTTCTACCTTGGTTAATTATCATAATAGTGATAGTAGTTTGAATTCTTATTTGTCACTCTAACCACTAATAAAGTTCAACATAATGTTGGATATAAAAGCAAAATTTTCAATGTGTGAAATATGTATGACCCATGTGATAACAGAAACTCAGTGAATATCGGAAATTATAAAACTGCATAGGGTATACCACTCACTAAAATGAGTAGTTACGAAACAGAAACACAGAAACCTCAGTGTTTGCTAGCTCCATTATGTTGATTCAAACACTGAACCGTTGTTTTCCTGTTTTCAGACCGAATTCACCAGTGTCTTTTACAGAATGACTCAACTAAGATATTAAAAATGTTTAAATAATCTGAAAACTGACCAACTACGATTAATGTTGGTCAGTAAAACATTCACTACTTGCTACTCGATGGTACTCTAAAATCAGATTACTCGAAAACTCAGCCAAAGCATGACGATCGTTGTTGGACAAACTGGCTAATATTTATTAGCTCAAACATTTATTCTGACAGGCTGACAAAATAAACGTCAACGTCGCACACATGTGCTTCCGCTCAAGTTGCCACACTTCACAGTAGTACACGAAGGACAAGTAGAGAGAAAAATCCTGATATCAAAGTAGACAAAGTAGTGTGAGAGAAGAAGCAGTCTGAAGATAAAAGTTAGTGCAAAACTTCAAAATTTAGAAGATATCAAGAGATGAAGAAATCCAGCTTTAACACCCTAACCAATTTAAAGCCGTCACCAAAAGTTCTCAACCGCTCATCGCCTTCGTCTCGTGGACCCAAACCATTGAGTCTACATCTCCTTAAATGCCTCAAACCAGCAGTAAGGGACTTCACCGACTGGTGTCAGGTCTTGATTCAGTCATCCGGAACACTCCTACAACCACTTCAAATCCCCATGACATGGCATGTTGAAGTCGGTGGTCAATTGGCATAGGAAGTGTATGTCAGAGAAACTTCAAACGAATAAAGTTCACAACCTCATTAATCAACTGAAATGACTATCTCGCCTAGTACTCTTCACCTGACCTCAACATTGATCACACGCGAGCAATGCTACGAAGATACCTGTGATCAGAAACTTTTAACCGTTTCATATCCTCTAATTTCAATAGCCATGTTTTGCAGCCAGATAACAAGAAGGAATGGGATGTAGTGCAGTATACTCGTCCTTTGATCGACTTTCGGATGTCTCGCGATTTTAACATATATGATGGAAGTTACCAAATGTTAGGTAGGCCTTCTGTATCCAATCTGAGATTTCGTCAACAACCAGCTCATTCGGGCTGATGCGACTCGACAGGTAAGTGAAACAGTTGATATACTCCGCCACTTCACTCTCTATCACTAAACTGGGAGTGGCAGACCAGTTCTAAAGCATCATCTTGCGTCTGACAGGTTTCAGAGAAACGCATTCCTAACATACTTAGATTTCTGTTCAACACATTCAGAAAACCCTACATTTTGCCAACTTCTTCACCTACCAGGACAATATCGTCTGCAAACACCAACTTAGGCAGATAACCTTCAAAGATATAATAATAATTATTATTAGTTACACAAATCACTCCGAAAACCATATCATTCAACATCAGAATAACTCCAAAACATATAATAGGCACTGTTTATTCCATTAAGGATATTCAAAACCAAAGAAAAACATATTTCTATTTTAAAACACTGTTTAGTATATTAGGAAGTATTCGTAAACATTTTATTTTTCGGAAAACTGACACGTACCAGAAATTTGTGAGGTGAAACAATTTGTTGCGTTATGCAATTTACTTGGTCGCTAGGAGGAGAATCCATGACAAGCATTTCGTTCAACCTGGGACTCATCTCCTGGATGTACTTGGAACCCAGTGAGTTTTGATGTTCCTATGGAAACCAGTAACCTACTACCCATCACTTCGAACACCACAGCTTTATCCACCAAGCTGCTGAGCCAAGACCATATTCAGGTAGTATCGAGATATCCACATAGAAGCCAATGTATCAACAGAAGTCAAACAATTAGATCCATCATGGCAACAGGGAATTGCAAGTATCAATAAATAACACCTGTTATGTATTGTACTAAAGTTAATTCTTGGGTCTCATTAGTCTGGTATATAACGTTTTGGCATTTGAAGCAATGGGTACTGGGGTCAAGTCTCAGTGGGAACGCCATCCCTCAGTGGGGGCCAGGCACGTCCAGACGACGAATGTTAAATGGGACAAAGTTAGTTAACAGAAGAGGACATCGTTTACTAAAGAATACAAAAATCTGGACAAAATTAGCGAGTGACTGTAAAGACCACCCTAGGAGCAGCGTAAATGATCAATTCGCTTTTTTTTCATTTTTTCCGATTAGTAGCTATTACATATAACAGCAAAACCGGGTTGGCCATTTACTAAAGTGCCCTTTAGAATCACCCAAGTCAACAAGGAATACTGAGAAGTTTGAGTTACATATTTGATTCAATAGAGAGTTTAAGAGATTAATATGGATAATAGTGAACGATTTCATTACTTGTTGTTTTTGAATACGCAGTTCCGGTTTCAACTGGTTGGTCGTTATGGCCACGGCGAAATTGAGAAGGTCCTAATTACTTTATTTGTTGATTACCTTAAAGGATTCTAACGTATCTACTTCATCTTCCCTTGTGTTGATACCGAGATATTAAGTGACCACACAAATGAAAGCACTTGTTCCCTTGAAACGTTAGCTTTTTGGCCCATGTTCAAAGCGTCTAGGATTAATCCTTTTCTCTGTCCTCCCAATGTAACTGCTATCGTGGATAAACAAGAATTTTACATGCAAACAGAGCTAACATAAGTAGGGGACTGAGCAGCATGCGGTTCTGTAAAGACGGACCAACTTGACTGCAGCGTAAAAGTGCTGGTCAATGTGGCTTTCGCTTCCCATTGATTCTTCAGGAGATGTCGTTACCTCTGAAGTTTAGTTCAATAAAAACAAGTTTCATGCTTACTGTCTTGGCAAAATCTTTTTAAATTTAGATACAGTCCATTGCATTTACTACTTTGTTGAGTAGATCTTTGAAGAGTACCAACATTTCTACGTTACGAGATATCTTAAAAGTTGAAGTTATCAATGTTTTCCTGTTTCATTCTCAACTTCACCTCTTTTTATTAGTGATCTGCATATTCTTTGATACAGTTTACTGTAGGGATAAGTATAAGAGAGGCGCTTTAACAACCTGACACTGTTCACTTTGTTGATTATTCAACTGGATTTCAGGCCGTTGTTATCATGGCGTAAACGCAATATGGTGTTCAGTTTACGAATTTGTAAACTTTTGAGTAACTTCACAGGATTTCATATAATTCTTCAACATCAACCAAAATCCACTGAAAAGCTGAAATTTACATACAGCTGTTTCGTCCTAGATTAAGACTCCTCAGCAGTGCTCAGCTAGAACTCTTTTAGTTTTATTTTACTATTGTTAATACTACGAAATCAAGAATCTGAGGGTCGGGAAAGTTCTAACATTTGTTATTCGAAATTTATACCAACCTCGTGGAATGACATCATAAATTAAGTTCTCTTCAAACCTCTCGGATGATAATTAGTAATATTCATTGGAAGTTGAATCATTCGAAAGAATTCATCTATTAAATCAAAACATTGATAAACTTTTGGATATCTAGTTAAATGTATGGAAGGGGAATTGACTCAACTTCTGAATATGTTCACCTTTCGTGACAGACCGAATCGTCGATGATCACTTAAACGAGTTGCTGTAACATTTTTAATGACAAACAGACTAATATGCATGTACTACTTCCAAATGCGATAACTTTAACACTGTAATATTCTGAAATGAGCATTAACTACCATTGTTGTTATTCTTATATTGGCAGATAGAGAACCTTGGTGATGATGTCAACATTATTCAGGTAATTGTATTACACTATTCAAACTGTTTTATGACATATATTTCTACATAACTATATATATATATATATATATATATATATATATATATATATATTGGTTAGACGGAGATAATTGGCGGAAAGGTATGAATCTAGGTTTCAAGCTTGTTGACGCTGATCTCCAACCTCGATAGGAATTGATCTTCCATTTGAGATTTTAACTCCTGTCGTCTAGTATTGTAGTCTGTAACGTTATCAATAACCCATTAGGGTTAGCACTGACCTCCTATAGGACTGGGTTAAGTGTATTTTATTGCTTGTTCACTGGAGGTAAACCAATCGCATGTTTTCTATTCTTAGCTGTTGACGGAGTTCTATTCATCTTTTTCATTTTGTTCGTAACTAATTGTATCAATTAGAATGTACCACGATGATGAGTTTCTTAACCTAGCTGGCTATATTACAAAATTATCGACAAAATTCAGTCAGGATTTAGGATAAGCCAACACTGAGTTGACTACTTGCCAGTGATCAAAAAATGTGTAGGTGGAATGGTTCACTTCACACTGTGACAACTATTGATGTCTTCTTCTACCTCTTGCCTGAGCATCAAACGAATTTCCTCTGGATTACGTCAGAGATGATCTATATTATTACTTGTTATGTACACTTCAAAAAGTCATTAACACCATTTGGCGTGTCTGGCGATTTCAACTTGCATACATGAGGTTTTTACAAAGCTTATATATATATATATATATTTTGAGGGAGTTGTGGAGATTTGGAATTATTTCAAGTTGTTATTCATCATAGACTGACATCAGTTGGAGGAACAAAGGAAACCTGGGAGCACTGGACAGCCGTTTCGTCCTAGTATGGGACTCCTCAAAATTTAATTGAACTGGTGCTCATTGGTGACTAGTTTCGAGAAGTATTCCCGAAGTTCCAATGACAAGTCGTGACCGGTGGAGTCAAAGCCTGATGGCCATGAGGACAAATACTCAGCGATGACATTGGGTGGCGGTTTGCGCTATATCGTGAGCTAACAGAAGTTGGAAATATGGAACATTGGATTCTGACCCAGTGGCTCAATGGTAACGCGCTGGCCGCGGAATCTGAAGGTCGCGGGTTCGGTCCCTGCTGGTGGGGTCGTGGGTGCGCACTGCTGAGGAGTCCCGTGCTAGTCGGACGAAACAGCTGTCCAGTGCTCCCAGGTTTCCTTTGTTCCTTCAACTGATGTCAGTCTACGATATATATATATATATATATATATATATATGTATTGACAGTGGAAGTGAACCTTCTTATACTGGCTAAACTAGTGAATATTAATACCCAATACATCATTCTTCACTATTTGCATACTGTCAGCTTGCAGCTATCTCTCTTTACCACTGTTCACCTTTACCGAAGTAATCACTTCTGGAATCATGTAGAGATGCCTATACTGTAGTTGCTAACGTTAATGTTTATTCATGGAATAGTAACGTTAAATATTTCTTAGCTACTTTAACGTATATTACTTTGTATGTTACCATTAAGAAATTAGGATCTATTCACATACAACTGAAGCTGTATCACATAATCACTGTCTTTGAATTATCCAGAAATACTATCACTGTTCATGAAATTAGGTGATTTCTGACGTGCAAACATGATATCAAGTCGGACGTTATCTAGGATTGCCTAAATCTCAATTGAAATCTATCGAAGGTAATAAGAATCTCATAACTTCTCAGTCATGTTCTGATTCGACTCCATTTAAATCTTCCCAGTTGATAAAGAAACTGATCTATGGCAAAAGTCTTGTGATGCAGTTTAGAAGAAGTACCATATTAGTACGTTGTGGATGTTATAATGGTGATGTGGTCAGCTGCAAGACATTATGAAGTCACCTTTCAAAGAATTTCACCTATCTCAGCACTCAGTACGAGTAATAAGGCATGAAATTTGATTCAATGAAGTGTTGTATTTTGCTGAAAAGAAGGAAGCAGGATTTTAAAAAGCCGAATGAAAGGAATGGAGTGCTTGAAAAATAACCAGTAATAATTGTAAATAACTTGATCTTTTACTCTCTCCTATAGCCAAGAATCACTCACTTATTATCCTTTCAAGTGATGATGCAACTTTGAGTGGTCTCGCAGTTTGTACTGAGTGACCTTTAACTTTTACAGCATATATTAATGAGTCCAGCACTACAAGACCACCGTACTCAGCCTTTGACAGTCGAAACGTCAGACACAATAGTACAGAATATTCTTACAGAGCGTGTTTAATGACAGTGACATTTAAAGAGGTGCAACTGAGTCAGATTTAGTTCAGTTTGGCTAGTAAAACTTGTCATTAAGTAACCGGTTGAATTTTCGCCAAATACTCTCAACTATAAATTAGTGGATAGTTACGTTTTTAGGCACGATTGGAGGTGCCAATCAGATCTACTGCTGTTTATCACGCATTGAAATACAGACCTAAATAATGATACTTCATATTTTCTCCATTCTTCAGAGTGATGGTAGCATCTATCTCCATCTATCAAGATGCGTCACAGCTGTCGAACACTGAAGTCAGTATCTAATACCATTGATAATAATAATATTACGGTACCAGTGACTTTTATATTACCTTATTTAGATTGTCCAGTGGAAGTTTGTTATAATAGACAGACAAGTTAACGTGATAATCGGCACAAAAGTAAACCATTTCAGCTTGTAACAATTAACAGTAGCATGTAAAGAAGAAGCAGGTCATAAAAAGTGGCATCAGAGTAACCAAAAGTTTATGAGAACAAAGGAAATAAATAAATAAAAGCTAGAAATTCAAAATTTTGAAGATGATAAAGGATGTGTGCATCTCCAGAAGTCTCCAGTCACTGATTTCTGTCGTCTAAGTAACCCCGACCAATTAGCATACATCTTTCAACTCACTCAAATCAAGAGTCAGAAATTTCATTGATAGATGTCACATCTTGATCCAATTATCTCTGGCTCTCTTTCAACCTAATTTTGATCAACCTTATATTATAAGTATCTGCGTTTATTCTGTTTGGTTGATTATGACCACTATGCTGAACTTCATTTTCGTCTAAATATGTCAAGGTATTCTCCTAACATTTATTTGTATGTGCATTGTACTTTGAGGTCAATCAACTAAATTAAAATACTTAGATGATCACTAGCAGCCTATTGAAAACTTTAGAATCTACAACTTTCTGGCTATATCTATGTCTTAATTGTTGTGACTAAGTGGTATGATGCAACAGGACTGGCTTTTAACTTTATTTTCTGATACTTTTCAGGAAAGAGGAAAGAAGAGTCGACAAAATTTTAAGATCAGTACACAGTATCATCTTGACGAGTTGCCTACTGTCTATTTTGGCCAGAAATGTTTATAGTGAAGTTAACTACTACGCTGATTTACACTATCAAAGTCGTTTGTGTATATCCTTTGGTACTCCAAAGGTAACCGGTGCGATTAGTGATCATAGAATTCATATTTCAGCTTACTTTAAGATGCTGCTAATTGGTCATGTATCTGGTTCCTTCCACTTGCTTTTCCTCTTTAATAATCCTGGGAGGAATGTAGTTAAAAGTTTGATAATTGACAAATTTTCTCACTGCACAAAAGTTACGATGAGGAGATACAAAGAATAGAAATGCTTCTTGCCTACTTAGGAGAGAGAATGTTTAAGACTTATCTGATATCTAGTAAAATATAATTAAACGTTTTCGGATGAATTTAGCATCGAAAAAAAATATAGAAATGAAGACAGATTGGAAAAACATATAGTACATTAATGTGACACATAGCCAGCCAATATTATAACGGGACCTGAAGTTATTACTTAACTGTTCAAGTTTCCATACTACATCAGTCCACCAAGATATAGGAAAGCAAGATAAACAACAGAGAAGCAAGTAAGAAAGTATAAGTTATAAGAAGGGATGGGTTAGTAAGGATGGAGTCAATAATGTGGATGCATCTGATTAACTGAAACCAATTTTTAGTCGTATGAACACTGATCTTAGTAGTCAGTGGAATCTATATTTCCTTACACAATGCAGATCAACAATCTAAGAATTCATGGACAAATATCATTCTTTAGCCTGATCTCGTAAAACCTTTCTCCACCTTCAGATTTCATCAGATAAAATTGTGCAATGGGATAGATAGGGAGTTGGTGTGCGTAAGACAAGTCCTCGCCCTTTGAGTTCATGAAGATTCATAACTTCATCAACTGAATTCTACACCTAACTTTAAAGTTAATGATTTGCTCGTCCTATGACGTGCAGACTATGCTACAAAGTTAACGACAGCATTCCTATATCCTCCACTGTTAATGGCCATATTTCATAGAAATGTGTACACTAACTTCTTTAGCCTAGTCAGTTTAGACTCACTTAGACATTACATAACCACTTCATATATTGTCCTATTAGCTATGGATTATCTATCATGTTATGATTTGTTTCTACTTTATAATAAGCAATTGCTATTGCTTCCATTATTTCAGGAAATGGAAAGACGTTTTAAATTACTTCAAGGACAATGTCAAGAATTATGGCTTGAAATTGATGTACTCAAAATGGAAGGAAGAAGTATAAGAGAACAGTACAGAAAAACCGCTGAAGCTGAGCAAGAATTATACAATGAATATATACAGACATTTTCACAACTGAATGATGTTAAGGTATTAATATTGCTATATCAAAGGTATATATCAATAAAGCACTGACATCAAGATGCAATGAGGAAATGTGGTGTTAAAATAACTTTATTTATGCGAACTAAACAACTGAGATTCACATAATGGGAACTACTGATACCAACTTTTGTATTCTGAGAAGAAAATAGAATTTGGACGCACATTTCTCCTGACGGAATGGTTGTAAGTGGGCTACTGGTGAAACCGGTGTCAAACCGGTAAGCCGACATTTTCAAAGTAGTATTCGTTATAGACTGAAATCGGTTAGAGAATTGTGGGAAATTCGGGAGCTCTGGGTAGCAGTTTCATCCTAGTTTAAAACGTCTCAGCAGTGTGCACCCACTAAGCTATTTGAGATAGAGCCGAGGGATGTCATATTTATTGGTGAACACCACACTATTCAGCCAAGGGTTTGGAGTGATAATGTTGTCATCACAGAAACAGATTTTTCAGGGTTCGAGTTTTCGTGGAGCCGTAGATGCGGGTTGCTGATGAGCTCCATGCTAGGATGAACTAGCTTTTCTTTTTCTCCAAATTTCCAAGAGATCTCCAAATTATTTCAGTCCAAGATGAATACTGAAATAGAACCAATCAACCCATCAACTGAATTCGTAAAATAACAGTCTAGATTTTGAATTCAGTTGTCTCCGTTTCATCACTTGTGATCACTTTTAAGAATCTCAACAGTTCCAGATCGCCGAAGTTCTAGACCTGATTTTCGTTTTGATCTTCCAAAAACGCCAGTTAAAGGGCTGAAGTAGCCTGGCTTTTAAAGAATGGAACTTCATGTAATTTGTGTATATCTTAAAGAACAATGAACATAACCTTGCTGGTTTAACTAGTGAGGGTTTCATAAACTCTTTAAAAATTACTAAGCTTCCTTCTTGAATGCTTAAACTAAGGATATAGCACCTAGATTGATTTTGCAAGCTATGCACATGAAAACTTTATTTTGGAGAGAAATGACACTCTTCAAGTTAAACAGTGGATTTTTTTTCAAGAAGCGATTTACACCATATTGTTCACTAGTATCAAATGCTGTGTACCTTGTTTTTAACTGAATACATTTTGATTTCAACAGTATGTATTAGTTACTTGTTTAGTGATTTCATCCACCTTTTGTGTAGGCAATACAAAAGGATTAGGAAAAGAATGAGACTTAACGGGTTAGTCATGGTTTTGTGGATTAATGTTACTGATATTGGGTTGTGGTTGAAGGTGACTTTGAAGCCTTGCTGGAGGTAGGGTTGGAATCATTGGTCTTCGGATTACCGGTTTGATACTCTACCATCTGAGAAATGAGACTCGGTTTTGACGAGGTCTTCACTTGAATCGTTCAGGGCTAGTTTTGGTCTTTGTTCGAAAACTACTCATTAATTATGAGAATAATTGCTGACATCGTCATAAATCAATTTATAAAAATGGACGGTTGCTTGAAAACTTGGAGAAAAAGACAAAATGAAATATTGACACTAGATGATGACTGAAAAAGGGGATGAAAACCTGGGCCGTGTCAGGATTCAAACCGCTGGTCCTTGGCTTACCGACCCCGTGATTTGAACTGAAATATACCAGGAGATAATTCCGCATAGCTGCTTTGTCAAGAACAAGAAATCAAAACGTTTTAACTGTCAGAAAGATAATATGGATTGCTATAAAAAGATGCAACCATAAATACGAAGAAGATTGTACACAATTAGCGAGCAGAGTTGATGCATATTTATTGCAAATACGTATAATAAGACTGTCAACTAATGTATAAAAAAATGATAGTATTGAATCCAATTTAGTTAAAAGTTAGAATTTCTCGAACACTTTTCTTGGTTTCTGTTATAACTGCCACCAGTTTCGTCACACTATACTCAAAATACGTACTTGATCGTTTTCACAGTAGGACTTTATAAGGTATCTTCATCCTTGGATAGATTCGTTCCGTGAGTAAATGATTAGTGGGAAAACTCGTAATTCTGGATGATTTCCGATTGATAGTAAAAGAAAAAGCATCCAAAAAGATCGGGATACTCGAATGTTTGAAAAATTTTGTTAGTACAAGTGGTAAAAAATATTGATGAATGTCTGTAGTTTGTTACGAATAGTTTTAGTAACGTGCCAAGTCTCTCAACCATCACATAGAAGCAATGACCTGACTGATGTTGGTGTTGAAAATACGAATCATGTTCCACCTACTGAGTGCAGAAGATCTCCATACTGGTTTCACGCTAATGAACACCCGTCTTGCTTTTCTGATCCTGACTTTGACGTCCTCGTCTGTGCCGCCACCTCCTGTAGTTGAAATAGGTGGAGGCTAGTTCGTCTAAGTTTCTACCGTTCATGGTGATTGGAGCTTGTTACTGTTGTTGGTATTGTTGGTTGGGTATCTCCATCATCTCCATCTTCTCTACTTTCACCGGAAATCCCGTCTTCGCTGCCATGTCTTTTCTGTCGACTTGTTAATGAAATCCAAATCTTCCAGGATCTATTCCCCGGTCCAGCCAGCATGCGCCCCTCTTCTCGCTTCTCACTGTTTGTGGCATGATCCAGTTTACCACAGTCAGGAAGGTGATTGGTGATAGTCGGCGTCAGCCTTGTGTCACTCCTGTCTTCACTTCACTTCACTTCAAAGGCATCACTCAGCTTTCCATTGTGAATGAATTGGCACATGGCGTCTCCATATTGTTGTTGAATGAGGTTGATAAAGGTTTGTGTTATTCCATAGTGTTGGAGCAGTCTCCAAATTACTTGTGAGTTGACGCTGTCGATGGGCTTTTCAAAATCGCGTGGTTAACTATTTCACTAGTTACCACCCAGTCCTAAGCCCGGGCAAAGAGGGAAGGTCGGGCGTAGGGCTTGCAACCCTAACCCGTAAAACCAATCCAACCGCTAAAGTAGCTTCAAAACACAAACATAATGCAAAATACCAACATATAAATTTTTTTACTCAAAAGCACAATTAATTTAACAGCCAATGATAATGAAATGGAAAGGAGGCAAAAGTAAGAAAGAACTTTGCAGCTTTGTATCTTCATCACCTCCATCTTCTCTACTTTCACGGGAAGTCCCGTCTTCGCTGACATGGCTATTCTGTCAACTTGTTAGTTTTCGCTTGTAGATCTTCGAGTTTGTGCGACATTAGACAGACATAAACCATCATCATGCATGAAATCCAAATCTTCCTCTGGGGTCTTTTCATCGGTCCAACCAGCGTATCCCCTCTTCTCGCTCCTCACTGTTTATTGCATGATCCAGTCCACTACAATCAGGAGGATCATCGGTGATAGTAGACAGCCTTGTCTTACTCCTGTCTTCACTTCAAAGGTGTCACTGAGCTTTCCATTGTGGATCCCTTGGCAGGGAGCATCATCAGCATCATATAGCTGTTGTTGAATGAGGTTGATAAAGGTCTGTGGCACTCTGTAGTGTTGAAGTAGCTGCTTACGAAATTTCTTCTCGGTCGACACCTCGATCAAAGGCTTTTTCAAAGTCTATAAAGTCGAGGTAAATATGCAGTTGACTGGCATTCTATCCTCTGTTATATAATGATGTGTGACGTGGCGTTGCGATTCGGTCCGCACACGATTTGTTCTTCCTGAATCCAGCCAGCCTGTTCCTGTCGTAATTTCGAATCCAGAGCACGTTTCCATCTCTCCAGGATGATGCGGCATAATATTCTGCTTAGAGTGGACAGGAGCATGATTCCGCGTCAGTTCTTGCAAAGACTTAGGTCTCCCTTCTTTAGGAGTTTGACTAGTTAGCCTTTCTTACAATCAGTGGGCAGGAAGGTATCTTTCCTTCCCTCCAAACCTTCTGCAGTAGTGGTATGAGAGTATCCGCTGTTGTCCCTGCATCTGTTTTTACAGTGCTTCTGGTGGAATTTCATCTGGTTCACATTCATTTTCAAATGCTTGGTTGATTTACGTTTCTGAGTATATTAAAACGATGGCCTTACACTACTGCGAGGAATACGATGAACATTAACTGTTTAACTGGAATGAAGGAGCTACTGCGATTAGGTCGAGATACTTAATAATGTTTCATCATTATTCATCTACTTTCCTGTGCAAGAGTTGGTCGTTCCAAGTAACTGTTTCTTTCAATTGTTTTGTCTATATATATCACAGTCTCACTGAGATAATTTATAATAAATCTTACAGTCTCATCATATGCAACCACACTGATTGACAATGTGTATTTGTTCTGAAAAACTAATTTCTTATTTAGGCTAAATGGGTTATATCTACTGATTTACCTGGACAGTACTCTAAAGAAACTGAGAAAGCTCGTAAATACAAATTGTAAGTGCTCTCATCTATGTATGCATTCATATATAACTAATTATTCTTATTCATCTTTACTAGAAATGCTGAAAAAGAATTACAGACTCTAAAAGATGAATATACGGAACTTCAACTAACTCAAGCAAATTTTGAACAGATGCTTAAACAGGCTGAAGTGGACAAAGAAAATTTATCAGAGTAATTTGATTGTTGTATCATTTTTCTATATGTGAAATGTATTCGATGAAAACAGCTCACTGTTTGAAAGTTTGATTTTCAAAGAATGCTGGGTATTTTTCAGAACGAAATCATGATCTGTACAGTCGACTAAGTTAGTATAGATGACTTTGAGATTGACTAGAGGATAAGTTTTCCTTAAGGTTGTCGGTAGTTCTGTTTACGAAACATCAGTATGTTGACAGTTAACTTCAATAGACAAAATGCTTTGATGAAAAGGTCTTGTTGGTTAGAGTGTAAATCATAAGACTTGAATTCCTTTCAGATTAGCTTAGTTTGCAAAGAATTAAACCAATACAAGAGTACACACCTCACCTATATCTTCAAAGTGAAAGGTTTTACGTATTAGACGGTTTTAATCACTTAAGTGATGATACTGTGGTTCATGTTTTCATAACCTGCAATTATTGACCGCTGGGTTATGGGTCTGAACCCCGTTATGTTATAGCTTTTGTATGGATAAGTGGCTGTTATCGTGAAATTTCATCTTTTTAGACATACATCTGTACCATACTACTAAATCATATCATTTTATTATTAGCTTTATCTGATATTGATTTTAAATGGCCTTCATAAGGGTTTCCTGCAAATCATTTTAAGGAGAAACAAAACACGTAAAACATAAGGATATGATGAATAGTTTGGCAAAACGTTTTCAGTACATACTAGTCCAGCTGCTCACATTCTACTTTACAGAGAACTGAGTACTGTTCATCAGACAATACTAGATAGGAAGAAATCAATCGAAGACTCAACGAAACTATTCGAAAATTGGTTTGAAATGGAAATGATGAATCGTACAGAAAAGTAAGTCATATCAATTCTATTTATAATAATGATTGGAAAGTTAAATCTGTAACAGATAAACTACTTCATTTTGAACATATGTTTTCCTAATTCACTGTTTTCAGTTAGTTATAAACTGGTGAAAATAACTCATTATAGTTAAAGAAGGAAATTGCTGCACGTTGGATACGCAGTCATGTTTCATTTGCAAAGTTCTTTCTTACTTTTGCCTCCTTTCCATTTCATTATCATTGGCTGTTAAATTAATTGTGCTTTTGAGTAAAAAAATTTATATGTTGGTATTTTGCATTATGTTTGTGTTTTGAAGCTACTTTAGCGGTTGGATTGGTTTTACGGGTTAGGGTTGCAAGCCCTACGCCCGACCTTCCCTCTTTGCCCGGGCTTAGGACTGGGTGGTAACTAGTGAAATAGTTAACCACGCGATTTTGAAAAGCCCATCGACAGCGTCAACTCACAAGTAATTTGGAGACTGCTCCAACACTATGGAATAACACAAACCTTTATCAACCTCATTCAACAACAATATGGAGACGCCATGTGCCAATTCATTCACAATGGAAAGCTGAGTGATGCCTTTGAAGTGAAGTGAAGTGAAGACAGGAGTGACACAAGGCTGACGCCGACTATCACCAATCACCTTCCTGACTGTGGTAAACTGGATCATGCCACAAACAGTGAGAAGCGAGAAGAGGGGCGCATGCTGGCTGGACCGGGGAATAGATCCTGGAAGATTTGGATTTCACTAACAAGTCGACAGAAAAGACATGGCAGCGAAGACGGGATTTCCGGTGAAAGTAGAGAAGATGGAGATGATGGAGATACCCAACCAACAATACCAACAACAGTAACAAGCTCCAATCACCATGAACGGTAGAAACTTAGACGAACTAGCCTCCACCTATTTCAACTACAGGAGGTGGCGGCACAGACGAGGACGTCAAAGTCAGGATCAGAAAAGCAAGACGGGTGTTCATTAGCGTGAAACCAGTATGGAGATCTTCTGCACTCAGTAGGTGGAACATGATTCGTATTTCCAACACCAACATCAGTCAGGTCATTGCTTCTATGTGATGGTTGAGAGACTTGGCACGTTACTAAAACTATTCGTAACAAACTACAGACATTCATCAACAACTGCCTACACCTGCTCGATACTGAAGCTCAGATGGCCAGAGTAATAAAAATAAACAGCAAAGAACTCTTTCCTGTTAATGAACCAACCAAGAACCTATCACTCAAAAAATTTACAGAAGGAAGTGGAGGTGGTTTGGGCATATACTGAGAAAGCCGACTGGGGACATCACGCTCCAGGCTAGGTCGCCGAGTGGAACTCCGATGGGAAGCGACGAGTTGGACATCCGAGGGTGACATGGAGGAGATGGTGTGAGGAAGAAATGAGAGCTTGTGGGTAGTCGTGGTGGCAGGTTCAAAAGATTTCAGAGAACAGAGTGGAATGGAGACGTGCTACTGAATCCCTACGTTCCATTAGGAACCCAAGGGACAAATAATAATAATGTATTATGTACCATTGTCCAATTGGTATATAGTTTTGACCATAAGTGCTAAACTGTGGTAATAATTGGTCGTTACCCTGATAAATAAATGTTAACTGAGATCCTAATTTGTTAACAACTTCTTTCGGATGGAAACTAATTAGTCCTGTGATCTGAAAGTTAATATACTCATCTCAGTCATGAAGGTGAACTTGTACTGCAATGTATAACAAAATGCATCTCCAGCATAACGTTCGTATTCAAGTATCTAATGTTTTGACGATTAGTTTTCATAAATTCAGTGATCTAAGGATGGTATTATACCTTAGAACCAGTGAGTTAGCTCTTGACTGAATCTTGGTAACTAACAACTGGTTGTCTGATTGTGGAAATAGTACAGGAAGAAAATTCATATCCAATCTATTGATGGAGATACACAACATGACATTAGCCCATAAGGAATCCGAATTTCGCTTTCAGTCAGTTAGGTGGACATTTAACACTGAATTATGTCAAACTGATATGCATTAACTCATAACGCACCTCCTACTAAGCTCCATTTGTATTATTTATCACATATAACATTTAACTTTTTACCTCGTTAACTCTCTAGCTTACATAACTATAGATATCATCATTTATGTCCAGTCTGCTTAATTGTTATATGTTTCTCTTTTAGAATTTGATTGTAGAAATGGTAGATACGTTCGTCACTTTTTACTCTATTGTTTTCTACTTGTTTTATTTGTCTTTATATGCAAGAGAATTGCTAACCTATTTGTTAAGGAATAAAGTTAACATTTTAAGCAGAGTGCTTAACACTACAGTACACAGAAATATCTAAGTTAAGAAATGGAAAGATAACAGTTTCATGCACCGAAATAAATGGTCTTGTCAATTTTATAGGCAAGAAATAACTGCACTACTAGTATGATTTCTCAAGTGGTACGGAATATTTGTAGCTAAGGTGGACGGTCTTGGTTGTATTGTGTTCTTTGAGCTAGGTTGTTTAGTCGTGAGTCTTTCACCGTCTTGATAGACGACATCATCAGCACTAGTTCCTAGAAGCTTAGTGTTCAGGTTAGTCAGCAATCAGTAGATGTCTAGACATAGACCCAACCTGTCAACCAATGAGAAAAATGACAAACGACCGGAAGGTCAGAGGTCAAGCAGAGGAACAACCAACAAGAAAAAACCATGAAGTCAATGACACAACAATCAAAGTACACAACCAATTACAAACCAGTTCATCAGAGCAAGCCGCTAAATCACTCACTAATGGGGAGATACTGACAGCTCACTTCATACTGAAGTTAGTGCTGATGATCTCGTCTAGAAGAAGCACGATGAAAGCTCTGTGATTAAACAACCCAGCTCAGAAAACACAATACAACCAAGACTTATCAAGCCAACACTACAGTTCCATCAGTGAATGAATACCCAATGGTAAACTCGGTCTTGACTACTTTATGTGTCATGATATTTGATACATTAATGTCAAAACTCATGACATCAAAACGGATCATTAAAAAAATTTCTTTCCGGTGATGAGTTTGAAGCAAGCGGCTGGTGTTAGGAAAGTATAAGTTTATGAATTTTATAGATTTTCGATAGAGATTCTCTGTTGAATGTTCTACATGTTCTACATGAAATCCCAAATGTGGCATGTATACATATAAGGACAAGGTGATAGCAATAAATTGTTTAGTCTAACAGGTTATTTTCAGGTGTGTTACATAACTGTTTAAAGGTGAAAAAGGACCAATTCAGGAGGTAAATGGATCTTAGGTTGGAATTCACCATGGACTGATATGAGTTGAAGAAACATTGAAAACCTTGGGGCACTGGACAGTTGTTTCATCCCCAAACGGGGCTCTTCAGCAGTGCTCACCCCTTATCCCACTAGGGCTCGAACCGGGGACCTTTAGGTTCTATGGCCAGAACATTACCAATGAGCCACTGGGTCATGGGTTCGCGCTGCTGAGGAGTCACATACTAGGATAAAACAGCTGTCCTGTGCTCCCAGGTTTCCAGTGTTCCTCCAACTCATGTTAGTCCTTGATGAATTCCAACCTAAAATCAATTAATAAACCCCACAAACCTCCAGATAGAATAAATGTATTTGCTTTGGCTGGAAGACCTAGATCTTTGCCTCCTTGAAATATCGATTGAGGGAAGTTCGGAAATGTTAGAAAACGAAAATGTATGGATGAAAAGGAATTTAGTGGTAAATGTCACATTTTAGGCCATGTGCAATTCAAAACGAACCAACTATGGGTTTTGAATCCATCATCGCTTGAATTGGAGCTAAAACGGAGAAAAAAGAAGAGAGAAGTGAGTGTCAAGGTGTACAGTGTGCTACCACGAGAGGATAAATCTATATATTATACCATTCTATGTACAGAGTTTAGGTGTCTACAGTTGGACCGCAAAAACTTACAAACTCGACAGGTTTTTTAAAAGTCTGTTTGTTCAACTTTTGCAGCTTATACGTATGCTTCTCACTCCACTAGCCTGAGAATCATTCAACAGCAAACAATCTATCAATGTCTTAAGGTGAGAATACCGCCTTCTGTCATCTCAGTATGCGCCAATATCACATTAATTTTTCCCTGAGGGCACCTTAAGTTGGACGTTTACATAATCATGTTCATTAACGTATTCCGGAACACTGTCTAGCCTAGTTATCCAGAGGAGAGAAATGAAATGTCAAGATTTCCGCAATTGAACAGATCATCATCTCCGTAGAGAGTTACCACCTCATAGTAACTACTTAAAAGTAATTTCCAGAATGCCTCCCTATAATTTCAAAACACTTTGACTGCTTCCTCTATGCATAGCCAAATCATCAAGAATTCTCAACGTTGAATGTAATCTTTGTGTTGAAAAACGATATATGCAACCATTAATCTTATCATTGCAAGAATAATGATCTCCTTTTCTCTAGAAACAAACTCTTAGTCTACTCTTCAACATTATATTAATCATATGACACTACTGACTACTAATAAACTATTATCTTTTTCGAATGCTATTATCCAGCATGTTGCTATGTCAACAGTATATTGCATAACTTACATTAACGTTGATTATTTCACTCAAATAGTATGCAGAATGAATAAGGTCAAGCGTATTTTAGTTAAATTCATCATCACCCTTAACACCATTTATAGTTATTTGAATAAAACAGTAGCTAATAATGTCAGTCACGCTACATTAAGCTTATCTAGCGACATGCCAGATACTGCGAGTGGTTTTTTCGTTACTTTCAAGTACGATTCTATAACTTTAGGAAATGAAATCGCCCGGAAAACCTCTCGAAGCACTATTTTTGATCTATGATAAAGTTACTAAGATTTGAATATTCCGTAAATTGCATTTATTTTACCAGATGATATAGTTTTAAATGATTGCGAGTATCTGCTGTACTCAGGACCTTTCACATATCATTCTTCAATATACAACCTGTCAGCTCGCTGGAATTAAGAATCGTTTACTTGTGGAGGTAATAAGTGGGATTTGAAAACCCAAAAAGTCAAATCACCAAAGACCAGCAGGTTGATGAGAAGAAAATAGCCAGATATAAGACGTTCATTCCAAACTTAATGAAGTATACTGTTTATCATAATATTAGTGGCTATAATTGCCCATTAAAGAGTGAGGATTACAGTTTAATTTAGTTTATTCCATGGAGTATGCAAAGAAGAGGTCAATTACATGTTGATCTGACATGATTTGGAGAAGGAAGAGAGGGCGATGAGTTGTGAAGAATACATGATGGGTGATATTGCATGAAATTTCTCTTAATGAATCACAGTTTCAAACTTCATCTTCCCAGCACACTTAAGGACACAACTACCCTCCGTTTTGTGTGCGCACTGTTGAGGAGTCTCATACTAGGACGAAACAGCTGTCCAGTGCTCCCAGGTTTCTTTTGTTCCTCCAACTGATGTCAGTCTAAGATGAATAACAACTTGAAATACCCTCCGTTTGTCTATTTTTCACCTCTCTTCATATCCTCCTTCTTGCTAACTTGATTATCTCTTCATTTTTTTCGACTTTCTTTTCATCTCTACTGTTATTTGTGGTAAATGTAACTGAAATCTTGCTGTGAGATGATTTTTATTGTTCTATCGCTTTCTAACAAGGTTCCTTGTGTGATATAAGTACTCTGAGTAATAAGTTAAGGCTTGATCTACTTGCAGTGTCTACAATCAATTTGTAAGCAAGGTCTCCAATATTTTGCCGCTTTCGTTACTAGAGAATTAACTACTTTTGTGAACTAACCACTCTTCATTTTTCTATACAGAGCTCAGCTTTTACAGCGTGCACTTTTGGCAGATCAAAGTAAAAAAGAACTACTTGAAGAGGTAGGTAAGACAACCAAAGAACGTGATAGCGTCAACAAGCTCCTTCGGAACTTAACAACAAGTACTGAAGTTGTTCAGGAGAGTCTAAAAGTAAGTATATAAACTGGAAATAAATTATTACATTAATGTTGTTCAGAGTAATTTATCAGTTATCATTGAAATAAGTAGTAGTAATTACTTATCATATCTCAGTTGGGAAATAACGATTGTAGCAATGTAACATGATATTATTTTTTTATTTAGGACTAATTAGCTAGATATACATGCATATCTGAAGGTGATGATGCCCAAGCTGGGACTCGATCCTGAAACTCATCCCTCCAATGCCAGCAATCAAAATACATCATAAATAATCTTCAGTCAATATTAAGATATTCACATAGAAGTTCATATCCTAGTAGAAACTCATCAGTTAGACCCGATATACCAACCAGTGAAATAAAGACCTGGTTTTTATAACTCATAGGAATTCTGGGCCGATAATATGGAGGCTGCTATTTCAAACAAACTTCATTATGTTTTGAGAACGTTATTAGAAAACGTGGAATATCTGGAAAATGTGATGTTTTCGCGCTATACATTTCGAACAATCTGATCACACATTTACTTATTAGGGGATTATATATGAAAACTGGAAATGGGGAAGGACAAACGTGACACAAACGAATTCAGTAATAAGAAAGATAATGAAAAGAAAAAAGATAAGATTTGAAGACAACCTTGGTAATACGACAAGATAAGCATTACAAGACTAGGTTTAGAGAAAGGACAAACCATTTTTGAATATACATCAGAGGCTTAAATTTACATATAACTAGCGCTTCGACAAACTTCACTATACTCCCTTTTCAGTTTCTATACAAAATTGTAAAGGCTGTTTTAATATCAATCCTGTCACCTTTATCAGTTATATGTTTTTGCAGTGGACAGTGATAGTTGTCTACCACCTGTGCTTATCAGTAGTTTGTGAATCTAGCTGATTTTTGCAACGGTTTGTAAATTTCAATGGATTTTCATATCACACCAATATTTCAGTTGTTTTTTTCTGATGTCATCATCCATTGATTCTTCCGTACAGATACGCTGGATCTATTCGAATAGGCACACTACCAAACCATGCTTGTACTGAGTATGACAAAAGCTATGAAAACTTAAATACTAACCTGTTCAAGTAGATTTCCTGTATATTAGCCGTTCTATTGAATCATCTTTCCTATGATTGAGGAGTATATCCAAGAACAGTAGATGATTGTCTTTCTCTTTTTCAAATATTAGGTGTATATTATTTCTCACAGTACTGTCTTTCTAGTAAACATTTCGCGTCTTCATTTTTGTCACATTTCACAGTTATATCATCATACCCCTTATAGAGAGTAACTTTACTAATGAGATCGCGGGTCACGCTAACAATGGTCTAAGGGGATTTCCCATGGCCACACTGTCTATTTGTCAAAAATATTTCCTTTCAAATGTGAAATGAACTGTACCAGTACATAATAATGGTAGCTTTTGAAAAATGTTGACGAGATAGGGGAAGAAAACTTGCTGGAAGATATATGATCATAAAGAATGTCAATAGTTTTAATTAAAGACATTTTGGTGAATAAGAAGTTGATATTAAAGAAATACAACCTTTTGTCTTTGATATTAACCTCATTAATATAATCAACAAGTTTAAAGGTATACTTCAAAGGAAATTTATATAATTCATTTCGAATAGAAATTAAAGTTTTCGCTTAACATTTAATCAGTTTATATATGTAGGTGGACGACAAATGGACATTGCAGGACATCATAGTGTTACACTTACTTTTAGGAAGTATGAAACAAATTCGCCAGTAATTCATATATATAAATAATTAGTTTATAATATTTTCTGACAGTAAGGTGGTTTACTTTGAAGTTTATTACAATCAATTTTAGGCTTTTAATAACCAACTAATAATATTTCTTGAGTTTCATGAATATGACAATTTTCGATCCGTCGTTGCAACTGAGATGTTTAGCTCAACGTGAGGATGATGATGGTTTGATGTTCTCTGAGTATTTATATTTAGTTTTGAACATCTCATAACTATGTTTTGTGACAACTACAACACCATCCTCATAAAGAAGTCTGAAAACATTGTCTGTAGTGGGTTACCTATCTAATTTATTTTGGGTGGACTGCAGAACCTTTATAAGACTGGAATGTTTGTCTTTATCCGCCATTTTTCTACTTTATGATTGTAATTTATGAAGATAGGGGTAGAAATGTCATTAAGACTGGGAGTGAAACGTCAATGACAAAATATCGGAGCTACAAGGACACCAAGCCTTTGCTGTGTTTTATCCTTATAGTCAAAAAACCCTTTGAAAGTAGACTGTCTGAAGATGATGATAAGATTTTCATATTTACTGCTCATATTTATATGAACTGTAATTTTATAGCCATATTAGGAGAAGAGTTTAGAAGATGTAGAGATATCTGTTAATATAGGTGGAAAACTTGAACACTCTGGTAGAATTTAATTCCATATTAGATCTGTTTCTTTGATTTATAACACACAGCGATACAGTATTACTTGATGACGTGGAGAGATATCTAGCTGGAAAAACTAAATAAACGAGTACAGTTTTAGAAAGAAATATATTTCTGTGGTTCGGCAAATTTTTCAAAGCAAATCATATCACTGATCTCTTTTTCACCTAAATAATCGACAGAATTTGGTTGGAAAGTAACATTAGGCGATATGACTTTCGTCACCTTCCAATAACCAGTTAATGAGCCTAACTAATTCTGTTGTAAGTCAGCCACATTCCAAACTGCTTAAAAGTGACATCTTGGATTGCACCACTGAATGAGGAGAATATGGATCTCACAAAGGACATTAATCCTCTTGAAATTACTGATGCGTCTTACTCATCGATGCTTTTTGATGATTGCCTCCAGTCAATTCTTTTTAGGATATGTATGAGATATATATGTGTATACGCAAAAAAGTATTCGAAATTTCCTCATAACTTCAAAAACTTTAGGTGAAAGCATGAAAAAAGTACAACTATGCTTTTGTGCAAGGCAGGCATACATCAATCTGAAATCAGTGTGGAGATCTACTCCACTCCACTCCACTCAGCATAAAGCGTGAACAACATCAAAATTTCCTACACCAGTGTCAGGTAAATCAATGCTTCTGTGTGATAGTTGAGTGACTTGGCGCGTCACGAAAAGCATTTACAACAAACTGAAGACATACATCGTCAACAGCTGACGCTTACGCTCACTCACCAGATACTGAAGATACAATCAAATGAGATGGCGAGAAAGAATGAGCAGGGAGGAACTCTGACCTACCAACGAACCAACCAAGCGAGGATCTATCGCCCAACAAACATGCAGAAGAAAGTGGAGATGGATTAGATTGTATTGGAGACACACTGAGAAGACAGTTACGGGAACATCACGCACCACGCCAGGTTGTTGAGTGGAGCCCAAATGTGGAAACGACGAGTTGAGTGTCCGAGGGTGACCTGGAGGAGATCGTGTGAGTAGGAACTGAGAGTTTATTGGCAGTCGTGGAGTTAGGTTCAAAAGCAGACTGTAGAGAAGAGATTGAAATGGAAACGTAGTACTGAAGCTCTATGTTCCGCTAGGAACCCAAGGGACAAATAATAATCAATAATGAATGCTTTTGTGTACGCAGTATTTGTGCAGTCAGGCTTATCGAACAGTTAACTGAAAAATACCGTATTATTTACTGGATTACGTTTCGAGCATAAATTATTACTGCTCATAATCATATCAATGTAATCACACTTCTTTCGACATCTGATTTTATAATCCTGTCACCTGATCTCTCTTCGTTCTTTGTTTTTTGATTGGTAGTAAAGTTTTCCATATCTCTGGTATAGGTGTTGCGTCATTCCTATTCCACATGTGTTGGGTGTGGATTCGATGAACAAAGATTCAGTAATTAATCCCTCTCTCCATCTAGCTATATTAGACTTAAGTACAGTGGTTTTGTCCCACCCTATTGTGTGGTTGTGTGTTAATGAATGTAATGCAATGGCCGAGTGTTTTTCTAGATTATTGATCCTATTGGGGTCTGCCGTTCTATGTTTAGCTAAATTCCTATGTTCTGCTAATCTAACTGACCCCGACCGGCTAGTTTGACCTATGTATTTGACCTCACACTCACTACATGGAATTTGGTAGATTACATTATTTTGCCTAATTGGTTCTATCGATCTTTTGGCCGATAAAGCATTCCCCTAAGTGAGTTTGCTGATTTAAATGCCACCCTAATTCCAGCTTTGTTGAGAATCCTATGTATGGTTTCTGATGTTCCTTCTTTGTATGGTATCACAATAGAGGTGTTGACTTCCTTTCTACTTATGTTGTCTCTATTATTTGTATTTGTATTAGTGTTATTATTTTGCTTCTTATGTGTTTGTGTGAATTTCTTAATGAAATGATGGGGATAATTATTAATTATTAGTGCTTCTTTTATGTGTTTCAATTCCTTTTTTAAGTCCTTACAATGACTAGTGAGTTTCTCAGCTCTGTTATTTAGACATTTGACTAAACCGGCTTTAACTGACACTGGATGAGATGACTTGAAGTCTAGATACCTGTTAGAATGTGTTGGTTTTCTGTAGACGGTAGTATCTAAACCACCATCTGTCCTTCGTTTTATTCTACAATCCAACATAGGTAATTCTCCTTGTTCATTTTCTACTTCTTAAGTGAATTGGATTACGTTAACTACTGAGTTTATGTGTGTCAAGAAATTGTCGACATGTTCCGATTTCAACACTGTAAATGTGTCATCCACATATCGTCACCATATCTTAGGTGTCGGATTATATGTTCGTAAAGCCATATCTTCCCAACTATCCACAAATATATCTGCTACTATAGGGGATATTGGTGATCCCATTGCTACTCCTTCTGTTTGTCTATATATCTTTCCCTGAAACTTGAAGACTGTCGAGGTCAAGCATAACTGCACTCCTAACATGATTTCATCAACAGATGCCTTGGTTCTTTGAGTAAGTTGTGAGTCAGTATCTAGTTGATTTCTGACTGTCTCCAGTGCCATATTGATTGGTATTTTAGTATGAAGACTTGTTACGTCAAAACTAACCATTTTTCATTCTCTTCTATGTGCAGGTCATAGGAATTTAGCTAAACATAGAACGGCAGACCCCAATAGGATCAATAATCTAGAAAAACACTCGGCCATTGCATTACATTCATTAACACACAACCACACAATAGGGTGGGACAAAACCACTGTACTTAAGTCTAATATAGCTAGATGGAGAGAGGGATTAATTACTGAATCTTTGTTCATCGAATCCACACCCAACACATGTGGAATAGGAATGACGCAACACCTATACCAGAGATATGGAAAACTTTACTACCAATCAAAAAACAAAGAACGAAGAGAGATCAGGTGACAGGATTATAAAATCAGATGTCGAAAGAAGTGTGATTACATTGATATGATTATGAGCAGTAATAATTTATGCTCGAAACGTAATCAAGTAAATAATACTGTATCACTGTGCGCTATATATCAAATAAACAAATCTAATATGCAATTACATTCTACCACAGTGCCCAAGTTTTACACTTATATCAACTGTAAAATAGTTTGAAAAAGAATGTCAAATAAAGTCAGTAAGATATATTTGACAACTATACATAACGTTTAAATTACATTTTCTTTTCTGGAGGTAAATTCATGTTTTGGTTTTGAATTTCATAATTCGCTGCTTTTGGATGTATATACAACATATTTTCACATCATTCACTTTGTTAGCAAAATTGTAATATTCATAGTACAAGCCTACCTGTTTATTTTTACAATTAACACTACTTAGCTAATAAAACAAATACATAATAGGACGAGAGCAAGATACTTCGTCACACCAAAATATGATGGAGGACTGATGACAAAGAAAAGAAACCTTGAAGTGGCCATCCAACTGGTACAAAATGATCTACAAGAAGAAGTAAGACATTTTCCTGCATATTAAAGTAGATTAGCATTTGTTTATATCTTCGAGCATTTAATTTGTAGTGTATTTGAACTATTCAGTGTACTGGAGATAAGTTTTGCATCAAATATGAGTGGTTATGCAGCGGTGTCCTGCATCAATCTGCGGTTAGATAGTAGGGTGTTTAGTGGCAGATTCTATTGAAAAACTAACTGATTTGGGAGGTTATTTCACTCTGAGCTGGCTGGTTGCTGAAAACATTTCTACGCAGAAAGGAAAGTTTCATTAAGCATTCACTAACATATTGTCTGTCGCATGAAAGATACAGTCAAACGTGTAAGGTAGAGCAGATGTACAGATATCCGGTGATCCTGTTTACCTTGTACTATGATTGTGAGAGATTACCGCATAACTTCAGAGATATGGGAAGACAACGGCTATTAGACTATAAACGTTTTCGAAGGAATGGTCTTATGTGGTGAAGTAAGTAAATGAATAGATTTCAGATCAGACATGAAATTTAATAAATGAAAAGTAAATCGTCGAATAAAGATGAAGTGAAACTGAATACCGTCTGATCAAGATATTGCTTAAGCTCTCAAATGAGTTCCGTACTGGTACCAGTTATTTAGAGAACGGCTAGCGCTTACCTCAATGTGCCACGCTGGGGGGATAGAAGCTAGATTAGGTTGGAAAAGGGTTTGAGGTGATTAGGTCAAAACGTACTGCCAGCCCATGAAGTCCCGAAGTGTTGATCTCAGCCATGTGCGGAGATGTAGGCTGCTTCGTTTAGGTCCTCGAGACTAATGCAATCAGTGAATGAGGACTCATAGTGACGTGGCTGAAAACTGGTAACAAAGGTGCAGATGCACTAATTTACTCATTTTCCTCTTCGAAAGGTTAAATATTCTCATTAATCTTTATCTTCAGATTGTTTATTCTGTCATACTACTTCATCTACGTTGATATCACTACTTTTCTATCTACCTATTCCTTATGTACTACTATGAAGTATGGTGACTTGAGCTGATGCATTTATATGAGAAGTTCTACGCGGAGTTTGTCAGTCAGCCATTCTATAAAAAGTCATTGAAGAACTAAAGTATCTAGGTTTCAAACTTGACCACTTTTTTACGGAAGCATCCACCATACATAAGTCTTCATCTTTTAGCAACAGGCATAGAATGCATTACCAAGAGCTGTATTTACATCGTATTAAGATTTATGTGCACTCATATGTTTAAAGAAATCCACTTGTTGCACTTTAATATCGCAGACCAAGCTAATGAGTAAAACTGTTAGATGAATGAATTCTCAATAGAACTCAGAGATATTTAGCATAAGTTACAGTTATAGTGTTAGTAAGGAATTCGTATGCGGACAGGTTTGCAAAGTAACGTTTTGAATGATAATAACCATCTACCCTGTGTACAAATAAATAACTAACTGAATAAGTCAAAAGTGTATAGCTCCCATTTAGATATTAAGAAAACAGTCTACGCGAAGAAATATTTTTCTTTAATTAAGTATTTATCAATGGCTCTAAGCCAAGACAGTGTTTTCAAAATACAAAATAACATCCTAGTCTAGTAGTAAAAAGTTACTGGCAAACTTTTAGTCTCAAGATATCAAGGTGGTGATAATAAATCGCGCATGTTATGAAAGACGTTGAAGCATATAGGTTTATACGTGATTGACGTTTTGCCGATGCCTTCCTGAAACCATAGTCTTAAGAATAACGGTTTCTTGGAAGCTGTTGGTAGTGTATTTTTTAAGCGAGACATATTTATGTACTTAGCTAGGGACTTTTCTGGATATCCATTACTTTATGATAACCTCACCTGGTTAACTAGTTCACTAGTTACTAGCCGATCCTAAGCTCGGATAAAGAGAGAAAGTTGGGCATGGGGCTATAAACCTTACCCTGGAAAAAAAATTCAATATCTATAGAAACTACAAGACACGACGAAAATATAGAAACTAAAAAAAAACTTATTTCTCGCTGGAATCGGAGAGACGGAATGATGATAGTTTGTGAAAGCCTTCGGGAAGCCAGTCGGCCAATGTATCTTCTCTCGATGAAAGCGAAAGTAAGCATAGGGACGTGGAATGTTCGTACTACGTTTGAATCTGGTTGGCAAGGCTGCACATATTGCAAAAGAAGTGAGATGTAGCATAGAAGTGTGAGGAATCTGCGAAAGCAGATGGAATGGAAGTGGACCATCCAAACTGTAAACTGAAAAGGAGTCAATAATCTACACCGATATCGTCACCCACAAGAAAACCACAAGCATACTGACTTTTCGAGTGGCTATCATGTTGTCCCCCCCCCGCAACAGCATCGAAAGCTCTCATGCAGTGGGAGCCAGTCTCCTCCTGCAGGATCAGGTTCATGACAGCAAGATGGATTCAACTCAAAAGGAAGGAAAGTCACAATCATACAACGCTACGCTACGCAGACAAAGAGAAGAAGGAGGGTTTCTACAGACAACTGCAATCAGTACTGGACAAGAACCCACCCCAGGTGGCGACAGCAAAACGTATTCTAATGGGTGACATGAATGCCAAACTCGGAGCGAACAACACAGGAAAAGAACTCATCATGCGTCGAGAATCACTAGATGAAACGAAAGAGAATAGAGAACTGTTTGCAGACTTCTGTGTATTTAACGATTTGGTGATTGGAGACACTGTGTCCAAGCACAAGGATATTCACAAAGTGATATGGACTTGATTTCTCCAGATGGACGCGCTAAGAATCAAATCGACTTCATCTCAAAGTGAAGAAAGTTTAGACGTAGCCTACTGGACACAAGGTGAGATCAAGAAGGAGAGGAAATGTAGGTTCACACCACTCATTGTCTAGTGCAAGGAGATTTCAAAATCTAGTCGAAAGCCTTCGGAAGTTGGTGATAGACCACAGATCAAACTGAACACCTAGAACACAAAGTGAACGACGAAACTACAAAGGACAACTTCAGTCAGCTATCAGAAAGAAAGGGGGGACATTAAGCAACATCGTTGAGGAAACCTGCGTGGAAGAATACTGGAACTCTTTGAAAGAGACGTGGAAGGAAACCTGCACAACCTTGATAGGAAAGAGGACAAGGAGTGGATCTCAACGGAAGCATGAAAGCTGATAAAGGAGGGAAAGGAAGGTGGTGATGGTGGAGCAGAAGATGAACTGGTGCAAGGATGCACAACGAAAAGACGAACTTAGTACAACTTATAAAACACCACACCGCGCAAAGAACTGAAGAAGAGTGCACGGAAAGACATAAGACACTTCTACGACACACTGGCAAGTGAAGTAGAACAGACTGCTGGTAGGAGAGACAGAGACCTGACAACTTTATATCAAATAAGTAGGTTACTATCTGGGAGGGAAGAGATCACTGCAAATGAAACCAACGGAAGAAAGAAAGAAAGCTAGTTACTAATAAGGAGAAACAAACGAAACAATGGACTGGCCACTTTAGAAAGCTTTTGAACAGACCACGACCACCACCACCTGCAACTCGTCCAGAAATACCATCAGCAACCCAGACACAGAAATACCAGTGGCCACAGGCCCTCCAACGAAAGTTGTGAACGCTATAAATTTGCTAATCCGGAAAGCAGCGTGAGCAGGTGGAATTCCTCCAGAAGCACTGAAAACAGACGCAGAGACAACAGCGGACACGCTCCTAACACTAATGCAAAAGGTTTGGAAGGAAGCAAGGAAGGAAAGGTACCCACTCATTGACTGGAAGGACTAACTTGTCCAACTTCCACAGAAGGGAGACCTTAGTATTTGCAAGAACTGGGGAGGAATCATGCTTCTGTCCATTACAAGCAAAATATCAAGCCACATAGCCCTGGAGAGATTAAAAGATGCTCTGGATTCAAAATTTCGACCGGAACAGGCTGACTGACTTCAGAAACAACAAATCATGTGCGTATCGAAATGCAACGCTACGCATCATCACAGAACAGAGCATAAAATGGCAGTCAACCGGATCTTTACCTCAACATCATCCATTTTAAAAAATGCCTTCAACCGAGAAGTAATTTGGCAGGCACCTGCTTCAACACTACGCTTTTATTGCCACAAACATTTATCAATCTCATTCAACAACTATATGACAACGCAACATGCCAAGTGATTCACAATGGAAAGCTCAGTGACACCTTTGAAGTGAAGACAGGAGTAAGACAAGGCTGCCGCCTACTATCACCGATGACCTTCCTGATTGTAGTGGACTGGATCATGCAATAAACAGTGAGGAGCGAGAAGAGGGGATACGCTGGTTGGATTGATGAAAAGACCCCAGAGGAAGATTTGGATTTCGCCCATGATGATGACTTATGTCTGTCTGTCTGTCTGTCTAATGTCGCACAAACTCGAAGATCTACATGTGAAAACTAATAAGTGGACAGAAGAGGCAGGGCAGCGAAGACGGGACTTAAATTGAATGTAGAGAAGACAGAGGTGACGAAGATACCCAACCAAAAACATCAAACACTAATTGCCAATCATCATCAACGAGAGAAACATGAAGGAAGTAGTCTCTTTCACCTATCTACCTAGGCAGCATCGTTTCAACCACAGGCGGCACAGGCACAGATGAGGATGTCAAAGACAGGATCGGAAACACAGCAAGACAGGCCTTCCTTCATCGATCTGAAATCAATGTAGAGATCTACTCCACTCCACTCCACTCAGCATAAAGCGTGAACAACATCAAAATTTCCTACACCAGTGTCAGGTAAATCAATGCTTCTGTGTGATAGTTGAGTGACTTGGCGCGTCACGAAAAGCATTTACAACAAACTGAAGACATACATCGTCAACAGCTGACGCTTACGCTCACTCACCAGATACTGAAGATACAATCAAATGAGATGGCGAGAAAGAATGAGCAGGGAGGAACTCTGACCTACCAACGAACCAACCAAGCGAGGATCTATCGCCCAACAAACATGCAGAAGAAAGTGGAGATGGATTAGATTGTATTGGAGACACACTGAGAAGACAGTTACGGGAACATCACGCACCACGCCAGGTTGTTGAGTGGAGCCCAAATGTGGAAACGACGAGTTGAGTGTCCGAGGGTGACCTGGAGGAGATCGTGTGAGTAGGAACTGAGAGTTTATTGGCAGTCGTGGAGTTAGGTTCAAAAGCAGACTGTAGAGAAGAGATTGAAATGGAAACGTAGTACTGAAGCTCTATGTTCCGCTAGAAACCCAATGGATAAACAATAATAATAGATTACTTTATGATGGCGATGACAAAGTTTGAATGTACTTTTCCGAACATGTAGCTCTGGTTTGAACCAATGGGTGTCTAGTGCTTCAGCTATACCTGAATGTTTTGATCTCACTGTTTTTAAGTAGTTTGACAAGATTTTGTATGGGATTTTGGAAGTCCTCAAAAGGAACAGATTTACCTGAATACAAAAGGGGTTTCTGTTATGCAGCTAAATATGAGTCTGCTTAAAACACGTTCACAAGAACACTCCCCAGTCTGACTAGCAAACGGAGAATGGAAATGTATCTTCACCACAATAACAGAACACCTTTTGAATTCTTTTAAGAGCTCTTTCAAAATACTTTGCACGGTCTCATCAAGCCACTCAAATGGAGGACATTTGGGTACAGGTGAAGCATTAACCAATCAGTAGCGCAAACCAGAAGTATATTTCTACAAAAAGCACGTCCAAACTTTGCCTTTGCCGTGGCAATCATTAAGCCTTGACTCTTCTAGATAAATCATGCATTATATCTAAAATAGTGATACGTTTCATTTTAAAGTAATCAATATTTCATTAAATTATAGAAACGGAACAGAAATCAGGAAATTGGTTCTATCTAAGCTATTCAGTCCTTCATCTCTTTTGATTGACTCATAAGAGTATAATTCACGCTCACTTTCAGTCAATTTACTATTCAATGAATAGATAGGAAGATAAACAGATCAATGTGAATCTGACAGAAAAGTGTATCATTTCGAATTGCTTTACTTCACAATATGGTGCAAAGAAAATGAGGCGAGAAAATGACTGGGATAAAAATTAAGGAAGTATATAAGAGGAGATAGCATCAATAAACAAGAGTTTATGAGATTATAATTGACTTGATCATGGCTGGCAGTGAAATCCAATATGCACATTTCATCCTATTGGGAATTAGTCAGCCGTACGTATTTGTGACTTAGTGAGTGATTTTGTTCCCGCTGAGACTCGAACCTTACATCCATTACTTGAAACGCCGAAGTGTTATCCACTAGGCCAGTGAGGCTCAGTAGCCACCTCTAACATTACAAGTATTGTTTATCGTTATTTGTTGATACTTGTCATTCTACGTTCTTAAACAGGATCAGTTTGACCAAGTATAGAACGGAGAATCACAAATTAACAATAATAATTGAGATTGTTGAAGATTTTGAAAATGACAAATTGTGTATATGTTTGCTCTCAAGATAATGAGATAAAGCAAGGAGAACCTCACATCAATGTGAACCTGTTGAAGTTACCATACTGTAGCAGAATACAAAGAAATGAGTTGAGGTTGGATGTCACAATAGCAGCTGATGACAAAAATTCTGTTAATTGTACAACCATAATTAGGCTTAAAGTTGAAACAAAACGAAATGAAACTCGTTCAATAACACTTTCGTGTAACTGGTAATGAACTACACCTACTGTGTAAAGATTCCCAAAACTCGGTACTTCAAACATGGTTCGAACCCGTGGCCCGTAGGATAAAAGTCAAGTGTCTAGACCAATGAGCTACAACTCCTTCAGGAGTAAAATGATGAATCTAAATTACTTAATGTCGTACAATCACAACCTATAACTAGTGAAGGCTATCTTATAGAAAACTAGTCTAGTAGACATTTCACTACTTATAAGACATTATCTCCTTAATAATTTTCATTATTAAATGCATTAAAATTTCTTGTATTCATTACAATACATATTTTTAACAGCATCAACGTGTAGTAAGTGAACACGCAAAAACATCTGAATGTGTGACGCATAATCAACATTGTCTAGAGGTTTTAGAATATATACGTGCAGAAAACTGGGAATTATTAAGGCTAATAACCAATTTAACTGATTCAGTGAGTAAAGCTGGACTTGAATACACGTATTCACGCAAAAAGTATAATCAGTTAACTGGAGAACTATTGAAAAAAAATGTTGAAATTACTGAACAAGTTAAAAAATTACAAGAATTAAATGTAAGTGATCCAGTAGTTATAGTACTGAACTTTATGTCATTAAAAAGACCAAACATGATACTCTTATGATTGCTTACTTCAGTTCCATAGCTTTATAATGCCATAGATAGTCAGCGTTAAAAGCTATAAGTTATTGTTCAGGCATAAAGTGCCTTTAAAACACACGTTACTCAGTAGTTTGTGACTGTATAGCTTCATTTCCCTTACAAGTACTGCTTTTATTGGAATAAATGATCAATCTTAAGATGATTCATTTTATGTGACAAGAAAGCTTCGAAACAATTGCGTTGTTGTAAATTTGTATGCACTACAGATACTTGTTAGATAAAAAATAGTCTTCAAGTATCAATGGACAGCTCCCTCATCTTTATAAACGAATAATTAGGAACCTAGTTGAGTAGTATTTCCCGCCCAAATATCGCATTAATGTCTACATCCTATGCCCTAAGAAAGATTAGGATATCAAAAGTATGAACAAGGTATCTAAAGATGTATTTACATTATTTAATATGATAAGAAACAACAAGAAAGTCGAAGTTCACATCAGTAGGGCAACTAATCGAAATACGTGTAGTGACAATAAAAAGACTTTTAGAGAAACAGTCAGTCACATACAAGGCCATTAGGACAAGTTACCAAACCACTTGTGGAAACACCTCTATATACCTGACTTCTCTCTGAAGTTTGTGCTGATGATTTTGTCTAGAATGATATTGGAAGCTTCGTGATTAAACCATCTAGCACAAAGAACACAACACCATCAAAATCATCCTGCTCAGCTACACATATTCTCCACCAATACAAAAAATGTAATTAGTCATACACTAGATGTGGTAATTATATACAGAACTCATCGTGTATGCAGTTTGTGTAAGTGCTGAATTTAAAGAATCATGTGATTCCGAACATTACGAAAATTTCCATGTAACCTGAAGGAGAAAAGGATTGCATGCTAAGTGGATAAGCACTGAACTAATTACCATTTACATTTATTCATCAACTCATTTCATTTCCTCTGGAGAACAAACCGGATAGATTAGAATCATAATAACCACAGATAGTAGACAAAAACAGTTGAGTGTAAAATCGGTTTCGGCTATTCTGTCTGACTACCTATCAGCAAAACAGATTGTTTCCTTTGAACAACAGCGTTTTTGTGCCCGATGAGGATGTGATAGACTATTGTAATACAACCAGGTTATTTATTGCACAACATATAATTATATTGAAATGATGGAAAAACTTATCACTCACGATGAGGATGACTGTGGTTTGGTATTTTCTGAGGTTTAGTATTTTGTCGTGAAGAAATACGAAAGCCTAGAGAAAATGAAACCATCATCAGAATCATTTCACCATGGAGTCAGAGTAAACCTAATGATCTAAGACACCTAAGGTTTCAGAGAATTTGAGGTTTGTCGATTTCACAAGCTACAAAAATTAATGCTAAAGATTACAACCAGCAGACTTTAAAGAGAGGAGTATTCCTTTAGTTCAGGTTAACAACTCGTTTCGTAACTTCATAAACAATTTTTAACTTTATAAATTTTAGGGAGACATTTAGTTATTCATTCAGAAAAGGAGACACAGTACTTCAGATACCCTAATGTTGACAAAGGGTGGTGAACATCACCTAAGAGTTTATTCATAAACCACATTTTATCAACCTTTTTCCCTGCTAAACAAACAAACATACTGAATATGAGCGGAAATTGGAAATCTGATATATTTTGATAAATATATTATGTGTGATAATTCGTTTGGTTGTGGCTAACAGAAGGATCCAGGAGGCGCGTTTCGTTCTATCTGGGACTCGTCAGCTGGGGGTACCCGCACCCCAGTGATGTTGTTCTCATTGAGACTCAAACCTCGTTCCCGTCGCTTCAAACGCCGAGACGTTATCCACTATGCCACGGGGAAACAATAGCCGCGGAACGATACCTACAACGGAGAATAACAAGGATGTCAATAAATATCATATATACTTAGAATATTCTATTGGTTTTATTTGCAAATAAATATCACAAAGATAACAGATTTACGTTAAATTGGTCATGGTTACTGATATCCTTGGTTAAAACGTATCACACAAACTAGCAGTGTGTATCGTTGTTCAACATTTCAGAACACTTTGATGAAGGCCATGAATGAAAATTCGGTTGCAAATATCATATATGAATTAAAGCCAAAGCAGGTGTGACTATGGATGTATGCTACTTAAAATTAAATGAGTAGTATACTAAATCTAACAGAATTTTGATATGTATTTTATATATTCCTTGAAGCGACATACTCCTCTTACATGAATCATACATGCCATTATAAGATTCAAAGAGAATAGTTTTCTTTTATGATTCAATGTAAATAGCAATAATACTTAAATAATTAGTATTGTTTCAACTTCTTCAACAGGGTAGATTGATGGAAGTTTCAAAATGTTATGCAAAGGCAAAATTAGAACGTAACAACCTTGTCGGATTATTGCAAACATCATTGAAAATTGTAATGGATACGCGTGAACGTTTAAAGCTGCATACAAATGAAGCTGAAATACTCATGTTCAACTTACAAAAACGTGGTCAACAAATAACAAAAGAACGTAAATTATTTGCAAGTGTTATCGTTCAACACAATCATAAACGTCATCAAGTTTCCAAATTAAATGAGGTCATTGCTAAACAATTACAAAAACATGAACAACTACAAACGAGTATTCAACAGATTAATACTATATACAACCAGACTGAAGTAGAGACTTTAAGTATAAGAAAGGCAAAAGAACGAAGTGCTCGTTTACGTAATGAAAAAGCTACCCAATTAATTGAAAGGAATCAAGAGGTCTATAAATTACGGGTAAGCTTTTTGACAACTGTCTAGTTGTATGAATGTTACTGGACGTGTGGTTGATGAGATTTCCAATCATATATGGAAAGCCATAGAGGTATATGCCAATGCGGAGAACTATTAGCAACGTCATGACGCTGACCTTGACACGATAGGTTGGGAATCGAACTTCCGCTCTTTGCCTGTGGGACCTGGCATTTGCAAACTAGGGATTTCCGATGATTTTATATGTTCAATCAACGTTTTCTGTGTAGGGTTTTTAACATTCAATAGAAACAGTACGTAAGTAATTTCGAGTTGAAGTTACATGTGCTCGGGAATGATGGAGATCGCCATTCATTCAGTGAGGTCATGTTGAAACATCGTTGTCTGTAGCCTGTGAATATGTTAGGAAGGTTGTTCCAGCAGTTCATGAATCCTTCTCTGCCTGCTGTGAAACTGGTTGAAAGAAGCGGAAAAGCCACCGGTGCATAATGAAATACTTTTAAGTGAAGAAAAATTGGGTTTAATTACCTACCATCTTTTGGTGGGTCATGACTAGCTTGATGGAATCTGAGAGAATACAGAACTCAGTGACTTGAGGTGATAACAGATGTAGGTCTTAATCGAAAGCACCAGGCATAATGACACAATTTCTCCATTTATTCTGATGATCAAAAGTCGACTAAAATTAGTGTATCTTCGAGTCTTCCTCTTCAAAAACCCATTTCTTTCTGTCTCCATTCTTTTTTCCTCTTTCATTGGCATAGTTGGGTCTCCTCACTGTTACTCTATTGATTTATATGATGCCTCATTCTGAGTCTATTTCGCGTCAAGTTTGTGCTTCAAACTGAATAAATAAATTATAAACTAAGCAATAATTACAAATTTTTATCAATATGGAAATCGCTTCAACAGGTTTAGTTTTGAAGATTATTCATCATCAGAAGCAGAAATATGGCCCATGCTCAGCTGCAGAAATGACTATGCAACAAAGTATACTTCCAAAATTATTGATGGATATTGGCTAGTACTGGAATCCAAGACACACCTCTTCCTACTTCAGACTCATCGGCTGGATGCACCCATCTTCTAGTGAGTGTTGTTTCTCCCAATGAGACTCGAGCCTAGCACTTATCACTTGAAACATGGGTAGTAAACAGTAATCCTTTTCCATTAAATGCTGACATTCACTTTAATAAGACCAGGAATGATAGAGTGATGTCTCTGTTCCTGACTATAACATCGTTGAGAGAACCATTTCAATTAAAAAATTCTGCAGGGTTTGAACATGAAGATTTGACTGTGTACTTCATTTAAAAAATGAAACTATCTTACTGTTAAACGCCACGAGTCAATTGGCAGTTATGTTTCATTATGAAACCATTCAATTCATCGTGAAAACGGAACGTCACTTAAATTAATTTTATTGCCTAGGATTATGCAAAAAGACATTCGTAATCCGCTGTTTCACGAATCAAATCATTACTGTACAATTACGTTACACGTGGAGTTGTACTTGGATAGCCAATCACAGTACTTCTATTGTTGAATGCTAAAGTTACTTTTAATTTACGCATCTATAAGGTAACTACATTGCTTTATATGCTATGAAAAAGCTATGATGAGAATGTACACTTTATCACTGACGAAATCAATGTAAATCTCGTACATAGGTGCATCGGCTCACTTCACAGGTGGATAGAAAAGGAGTGATATCAACATAGAATAAGCAATCTGAAAATACAGGTCAGTGAAAATATTTAACCTTTAGAAGATGATAAAGAGTAAATGAGTACATCTGCAACATTATTGTCAATTTTCATCCACGTCACTTTGAGCCCTCACTCACTGATTCCTTTAGTTTCGAGGACCTCAGCGAGGCAGTTTTCTACAGTATCCCTTGTGGCTGAGATCAACAGTTGGGGACTTTATCGACTAGTGCTACGTTTTGATCTGGCCACTGTCAACCGTTTTTCAACCTTATCCAACCACGAGGTAGACAATGGCTCGGTTTGCGGCAGACATGTCCAAGCTATCTTAGATGGTTAAGGTTCACAACCACATCAACCGACTTGCCTATTCTTCTTAGTACCCTTTACTTGACTTCAACACTGCGCACACTGTGATTGCACCAAACTTGAATCATGCTACGAAGATATCTGTGATAAAAAGCCTGTAACTGCTTCATGTCTTCTACTTTTTACGCCCATATCTCACAGTCATACAGTAGGACTAAAAGTGTAAAGTCTGTATACTTTATAACTTCGTCTCTCAACTTCAATCAGCAGCTTTGTTTTGTAGAATTCATCTCTCCCACACACATGCACACACACAGAGTTATGCATAATCTTAGAATAGGTAGTTTTGCCTGATGCAGGCTAATGGTTTACCGTGCAATGTGCGTTTTGCTCTACTGAAACTCATCGGCCGTATACATCTAAATTGACGTTTTCTGCAATAGATATCATTTGTTATTTAGGGATACTTTGTAGTTCCTCACTGTTTATTTCACTGGATGGAAATAAACAGAGTTAATCTTTCCCATTTTGTACAAACAAAAAAAAACAGAAACTTTATTTATTAATAATCATCTTTATATATCGAATTCCAAGAAAAGAATCAGTGAACAGGCTACTGCAAGAACTACTGCTGAACTCAATTTACATGGGTTGGAGGAAGAAATTAATTTATTGAAAATATATCAATCTCAATTATCGAATTATATTCAGGTGATGAATAAAAATGGACCTAAAATTGAAGCAATGAAAAGTGAACTCAGAGGGCTTATTCATCAGGTTTGTTTAGTGTGAAATAATTCACTATTACTACTATTGGAATAGTTAAACGTATTTTTCACAGTAATAAGAGAACGAAAACTATGTTAGTAAATATATTTTTTAACTTGAACTGTTAATCAAGTGTATTAATGATGGATCGTGGCTAGCAGTGGAATCCAGCATGCGCATTTCGTCCTATTTGGGACTTGTCAGCTGGATGTACCTGGACGCAGGCAATATCGAGGCATCCGCACAGGAGCCCATACGCCAATACAGACCGATTAATTCGGTCCAACCAACGACGGTATGATATAAAAACAATTATGTTAATCAAGTGGTTTTATTGCTCTTTTTGTGAAAAATGTTTATAACATCAGTCTATTTGTCGTCTTCATGATAACTCAAAGTGTAACAGCTAGTCAGCAGGTAAGTATAACATTATTGGTTTCCTGTTTTGAATGGTTGATAATGGTGTATCTATTCACAGCTCATCTTGGAGGGAAAATATTTGTGCAACTAACAAGGTGTCGAACCAGATGGACAGTATTGTGTGAGGAAGGTTGATATTATGTCAAAACAAATGCTGTATGATGACTAAAGAAATCTCTCGCCTATTCAAAGTGAATGCATAAGGTAGCAACGCAATAGCAGGATAGATGAAGTGACTCAACTTCTGAAGAAAGGTGAATACCAAAAATGAGCTTTCTGAAGTATAGATTTTCCACAGACGAAGAATATCATCACTAACAGTGATAATTAGTGAGTATGAAACTATTCAACGAAACTACTGCACGCATTATGAAGCTTACATTCCATGGTCTTTCTGGAGTAAGCATAACACTATAAAATAACTTTTCTGATTTCTCCCTACATTTTCAAAATATTTTACTACGTACTGTTTAAATGTTTGCTTGCCTTGATCATAGTGCTACCAGATTGACAAGGGTAATTACAACATTGAAAACAAAGCGGTAAAAAACGCACTATAAGGCCGTTTTGCATGCTACCGAAGTCGAACATCGCGTCTTTCACCTATCTAGGCAGGACTGTTTCAACTACAGGCGGCACAGACTAGGACGCCAAAGCCAGGATCAGAAAAGCAAGACAGGCGTTCTTTAACCTGAAACCAGTGTGGAGATCTTCTGCACTCAGCATAAAACGTGAATAACACCCGGATTTTCAACATTAATTCAGTCAAGTCAGTGCTTCTATATGGTTCAGAGACTTGGTGCGTTACGAAAGGCATTTCCAGCAAACTACAGACATTCATCAACAACTGCCTACATCTGCTCGATACTGAAGCTCAGATGGCCAGAATAACAAGAATAAGCAACAAGGAACTCTGTACTGTTAACGAATCAACCAAGAACCTATCACTCAACAAATATGCAGAAGGAAGTGGAGATGGATTGGAATGGGCATACACTGAGAAAGCCGACTGGGGACATCACGCTCCAGACCATCCGTCGAGTGGAACCTAGATGGGAAACGACGAGTATGACGTCGGAGGTTGACATGGAGGAGATCGTGTTAGGAAGACATGAGAGCTTGTGGGCTTTCGTGGAACCAGGTTCCAAAGAATGCAGAGAACAGAGTGGAATGGAGACGTGCTACTGAAGCTGTATGTTCCATTAGGAACCCAAGAGACAAATAATGAATAATAATATAATAAAGTCAAACATTAGCATAACAAGGTGAATTTCACTGCAGGGAAGACAAGAGAATAGAAGTAATGGTAGTGATAGGGATGGAATAATGAGTTGAACTGAATATCACTAGGATTTATCAGTTTGATGACTGACTTACAAAATACTAAAGAATTTCAATTAGCTTTTCTTCCCCAACAACATTTTTTTGACCAGTTCTGTAATCCTTCGATGAAATAAGTTACGAGTAAAAATTCAAATGAGTCCTTCATGGGTACGAAGTAAACAATCAAAGATTACATTGTCGTCTTGTCAACTGGAAGAAACTAGCTACAGAATATCCCACAAGTAAAGGCTATGGAGAAAAAAATATGATCATTTACATTTAGTGCTAACTGTAAATCTCATTGTACATTTTCTAAAGAAGAGTAATTAAGTTCATGTTCCTCATCGACTGAAATCAGTTGGATAACTACTGAAAACTTGAGAGCACTGGATAGATGTTTCGTCCTAATATACAACTCCTCAGTATTCCTCACTCACCCCCCGGGGATCGAACTCAGGACCTTCAGACCACGAAATGAACAGTATTTATGTTCGCAGCTCTATTGAATTTATCCAATATTATTGCAGAGTGAATAGCTAATATATGTGTGGAACGTGGAACAATAAGGTTTGGATTTCAAACTAAGAAGTCCCTCGGCTGTACGAAAAAGAAGGAAGAAGCGAGGTAACAAGAAAAAGTATATTAACAGTATATTACAGAATCCGAAATAATATTATTTCAGTTTACATTGAAACTTTCACTAATGAATATCATTAGCATACTTCATTATTTCGGTTTGAAACAAAAAGTTTTCTTTGGAAACAAACTCCTATTGTTCCCACTTTTGAAACGAAGAAGGATTAATGATAAAAAATAGCTGGAGTGAAAAGCTTTTGATACATTTAAGTAGGTTGAACGCGACTGGCAGGAAGTCCTGTATCACCTAGGTTTCATACTTGTTGCCACTCATCAGGAAGGTGTAACTGCAACCCTGGGGGAAATGATCTTCCCTGTGAGTTTCAAACCCGTGTAACCTAATGTTGCAGTCATCCACGTTACCAGTGAGCTATTTTGGTGACTTTTGAGCTCCTGTAGACCTAGGGTAGACACATTGGCTGCTCACTTAATTCTATCGATGATTTTGCAATGTGACCATCGCAACGAACTTTAGTGGATGTTAACTGGTTGCAGACAATCAGTAGGAAGCCTTGGATAACATGAAACTGGTTGCTTTCCAGTCATTTATGGCGCGAATACCGCAGTGGTTAAAGTTGCTAACTACAACACTGAGCGGTAAGTGTTTAAATCTCAGAGGGCCTATAAGTTCTTTTGAGGTCGCAGATACGCCTTGCTGAGAGTGCCAACAAACAGGGATTAATACCGATTGCCTTCAAACAGCTAACACTCATAAAAAGTGCACAACGATAGTGTCTATTTTAGCCCAATGACAATATTTCAAAATGATATATAGGATTCTGTCAGCACTTAGGACCAGGCAACATGAAATTCATTGCTCTCTAGCGATCATTCCAAAAACTTTAGACAACCGGTAAGTAAACATTAGACATATATACATGAACAGAGCTCCTAGTTAACAGTGCTAGTTATGATTTATGAACTCTCTTTAGACAGTCAGATACTCTCTTTCAAGGATTTGAAATATTCTAAAAACACAAAATATTTTTTGATCTTTGAAATTCAGTTGATAGCAAGCCGAGTAAAGTTGAGTGATCTTATATGTCGAACTGAAGATCCCGATTCTAAAGGACGTCTTCGAATACTTGGCGGAAAAGATCCATCACACTTAGAACTATGGATGACTTTGGGTCAATTAGAACGTCGCATGGCTGCTAAAGAAGAGAATCTAGCTGAAAAGAATTTAACTTACGAGGCAGTTTGTCGGTTAGTCGACAGTTTACAAATTAAAGTAAAAACTGGAAAGTACGTTAAATTTATGTACGAAGCTATTTTTTCTTAATCTTTTTAACAGTTGGTTGGTACTTAATTAGAAGTATGTTGAACTTATGTGATTTAATCAGTCTGCTATTATATCCTTTAGCTGTTCTAGACTTTTGCCGAATTACACATGATTCATTTCATAGTCACATTCAGAAAGCTACTCATTGCTCATAATGACAGACACTACCTGTTGTCTGTAAATATATATTTATTCACCCACTATAATATCATTCCCAACCGATTCATCAATAATGAGATTATTTTTATGAATAAAATGAGAGACGCTTTTCAGATCATTAATTTTTATTCTGTTGTTGTTCGTCAACCTAGTGGCACATAAATTTCAGGTTGGCATTGATTGCGAAGTGAGATTACCCAGAGAAACATTGAAAACCTGTGAGCATTGGACTTCTGTTTAGCCCTAGAGCAGGAATCTTCAGCAGTGGGCACCCATGACCTCGCCAAGGGACGAACCCCCCACCTTCAGGTTCCGCAGTTACCACGTTACCTTCAACCACTTGGTCAGAGTTCAGTGGTGCATAGTTCCCAATTCTGTTGGTATTATCTGTCTCTTGTCTGAGTCGTTAAGCACAGTGAGTGAAGTAAGAGGCCACTGGGCGTTGTTTGACGACCGCATCTCAGTTCACAGTAGCTCTGCATAGAGAGCAGATGCATTTGAAATGAGATCTCTATCTCACTAGATGATGAGGTCATCCCATTGGTTAATGGTTATGTCTACTGCAGCTTTTCTGCACCAATAAAGATATGCCATTTTAATCATGATAATGACTACCTGCATGCATCAGAATTTTACAATGTTTAAACTTTATGAAAATGAATGTGTAGTATCCTAATATTTAGACGAAGTTTAAATCTTCTTTAAGGTCTGAACTGAAGTACTTCACAACCGTAATCAGTTGATATTATCTTTGAAATGAATAGCTCATTGCTGCTGTTTTCTAAGACTAAAATATGATGGATCAATTAGTTCTTAGATTGTAACTGATTTCATCTTATCTAGATTTTTCCAGCAACCAAACAGTTTATCTCATACGGTTTCCATTGGAAACAATAATAGCACAGGTAGCTAGGCAACAAAGTCTATGATCGCTGAGCTGAAAGGCAATTGTTGCGAATCCTTGGGAAACTTTTATTTCTCATGACGTTTTCAGTACACCTTGTCAATTATCTCCATAGCTTCTTCTCTTTTACATTCAAGTTTCAACATTAAGTAATGCAACTAAGTATCAACTTAGTTGGTTCGATAACTATATTGTAAAACATAATTTACACAAACCGATTTACACTTAGGACCAATTGACATAACATTAGTTATGATGCAGTGAAAGATTAGTTTATGAATGCATCATGTATTACAGGCAGCTTGATCAAATTTAAATCAGGATCTAGTGAAGATTTACTTTTAGTCAAACAAAATACTTCATCCATTGAATATTGAATATTTAGATATGCAGAGTTGAGTTAATTTTTTGAAACGATGCGCTACTGAAACTCTCCTGATATTTCAATATACCATTTATTGTTATCGCTTAACTTTTATTTAGTTTAATAAATTGAAATCAAAATACATTCAACAACCACTTGAACATTTGTACAGTAGTCAGTGAGGCATACGTATCCTGCAAAGGCCAGTGATGCCTTATAACTTCTGATTTATATCTGTATTGTCAATTTATTTTTTTTTTAAATTTATTTAGAGATGATACTTTAACTTTAGCTACTGAAGTAAATAAAGTTAAATACAGACTGCAACAATGCCAAGATCAAATGAAAACACTTTATGCAGAATTGATAGTTACAGCTAGTGAACGCAATCGTATGAGAGATTATATTGAAGTGGGTAAAATTTCGAAAAGTTTTATATACTTTATATAATGTACAATAATGAAGTTGTTTTAAAGATTACAACATCTTGATGTTAGACATTAGAATTGGATCGACAAGAAAAATTGTCCCAGCTAAGTTTCCCATATGTTTGCATTTATCTAATGAAAGGTGCATCTGTGACGATGAAGAAACTCAGTGATTTAACCCCATATCACTCACTATATTGTTATTGCTAAATAATGAAAGTATTGATTTAACAAGATTCCATCTAAAGTTATCTGTGTAACTGATATTCTAGAAGTTTTGGAATAAATTTCGGGATTTTTAGCAACGTTTAGAGCTTAAGTGTGTGTCTGTGCGTGTACAAGAACACTTTCACAATACTGATTTTGGCTACACTACGTGTCTAAGTGAATAAAGTTAGGAATGTGAATTGTGAATCAATAAGTGAATAAGTGTTTACTTAGTCAGTGAATTGAAAGGTCTTAGATAATATTCTGTCATTTGTTGTGACCACATTTCAAGAGTATCATGAAATAAGCTAAAATAACCCACACTTAGCTCCTAGTTTATAACGATGTCATTCCAAGATGAAAATAATTTCATAATTGAGAAAAATTTTAATCATTTTAAAGGATAAAAAGAAAAGTAACAAGTTTAAAACGATACAGTACGAACAGAATTAAAAATTATGACAAAATTGTTATTTCAGCACATTGTCATTGGACTCTTTCACGTCGGAAACAGAAATGAGCATACATCAATCTTCTCCAAAACTACAGAGTGAGGTGATGTGTTTATGAGATGATTAGGGATTTTATATTTGAGGTAGTATTCATCACGGACTGACATCAATCGGGGAACTACTGAAAACCTGGGAGCACTGGAAGGCTGGTCGGAAGGGAAGCGGATGCCATCTGAAGAGTTTGAGTGACAATCGCGCTATATTGCTAATTCACAATAGTTGGAAACTAAAGACCATTGAACTCCGAACCAGTCGCTGAGTGGTCAAACCTGAAGGCCCTGGGTTCGATCCCTAGCCAGGTCACAGGCACGTGCTGCTGAGAAGTACTAGGACGAAACAGCTGCCCAATGCTCCAAGGTTTTCAATGGTTTCCCAACTGATGTCAGTCCGTGATGAGTACTACCTTGGAAGTAACAACAAGTGTGTCTTAAAACAGTTAGTCCCTTTTACGAATTTCGATAGCGTAATCAGAAGACAGAATTTATCTGAACAATGTGATGTCTTCGCGTAATGCATTTCGAACAATCTGATCACACATTCACTTGTTAAGTCAACGTATATCAAACAGAGGAGTGGGGGGACAAACACAACAATTAACACGACTGGAGATTAAAATTAAGAAAGATGAGAATAAACAGGAATTGACCCAGTTGATCCTAATCCCGGTAAGAAGATAAAGTTTACTTTTATGTATACAAAAACAATCTGTTCTTACTCTACATCTACATTGGTAGACTTTGTTTTCTTACCGTGATTAGGATTAACGAAGTCAGTTCCTATTTGTTCTCATCCCCTATTGTGTTAATTGTTGTATTTTTCCTCCCACTCCTTGGTTTAACGTATACTGACTTAACAAGTGAATGTGTGATAAGATTGTTCAAAATGTATTGCGCAAATACATCACACATTGTTCAGATAAACTTTGTCTTCTAATTACTCTATGAAAAAGAGTGTTTTAAATATGAAGTTAGAAAACAGTGTAGTCAGAAAGGAGCTGTGGAGAGTTGTACCGATAACTGAAATGAGCGCTTAGGAATATTTGAGACAGTAGGTTATATAATGTAGTAAAAGAAGTGCTGGAAACACTAAAGAAACATGAAAGGAAAGACAAGATCTGAATTAAACTCAGTGAAGAATACTCAAAGTCATGTTAGGAAAAGTAAAGAATAAATCAAATTATTCAAGTTATGATACCAATGCAATTGAAGATTGAACTTTGAAATTTATAATGGAATGAATGAATGAATGTAAGTCTGATCAAAAGTTAAAGCTGAGTTCAGTAAAATATCCCTCACACACTCACTAATTAGTACATTTACAGTATGAAACGAAAAGAACATGATGATACCTTTCAATATCGAGTTTAAATGAACTCAGAAAAAAGGACAGACAAGCTAAAATACAGACAGACTAGTTTATACATGCTTTGTGAATGTAGTCAGAGAAACTTTAATCGAGTAATATCCATTGGAACGAGGATAAATATAAATGCATCTCATAACTGCATACACTTTCGTAGAGTAATCAATGAGCTAAACTTATTGTATGATGGCTAAAGATGCTCCGTAACTAGCTCTACCTAGATCAACCTGGTAGGTGAAGTAGCTTTCGAATTGGTGACCAATCGGTTGAAAGTTAAATGAAATCAATAGGCTGAATGAGTACCTTCTGCTGAATATGAAACACTCTATAAACGTTCAATGTAAAATTTAGGATAATTAATGAACAATTACATTTAAACAGTAATAATGGTAGCAAAGCTTTAAAAAATGTGATTTCTTCATCACTTCTGTGAGTAAATTTCATATATTTGAGTTCAAACCCTATCTTACTCTTGTATAAAACGTTTCATTCTAGTCTTTTCTTCGTAGTACCATAGTCTATCACCACCACCACCAAGCCTTTTAATTCACTGGCCATGATAACATCAATAATTGCTATTTTTCCATTTGCTCATTAAGTGTTTTTTGAGGTTGACAAAGTTGAGTTTCATCCCTGTCACTTGCATTAAGGGTGTCATGAGTGAATACAGACTACATTATTAATCTTTGACCTCACTTGTTTATGTAACGAGTGACTTTAAAGGCCACGCTAGAGACAACTGAAATAACCAGTTAGATATTTTGACTGGAAAGGAAATTTTTTTCAATAAAACACAGAACTCTATCTAACTGATTATTTGGGTAGTTGTTAAGTAAACCCATCGGGTCACTTTTATGTAACACGGCCATATTCGATAATAATATCGTTTAGTAAGTTAGTTGCTGGATAAATAATTTAAATCAGACTCCCTTTTCAAGTTCTTGCAAGACATTCGAAACAACTGTGATCTAGATGGATAATTTTTAATTGGAATACATTTCTGAGTCATAGGGAAATTCAAACATCTTTTCCTAATGCCCCTTCATAATATGAGGACTGCCTCATAGCAGAATATTACCGGTACACCTCATCACATGTTAAAATACCAGAAGTGTTAACATTGTCCGTGTATTCATATACATAAATAAAAAAGCTATTATCCTTAATTGATCAACAGTAAGATCTAGGCGACCATAAGAGTTTGCTAAATCCCAGTGAATGTGTAGACATGTTAGTGAATATGAGATAAATAGTATCTATGCTTGATTGGTTCAATCAGTGTAAATGTATATACTCTAAAGAAACCTTTCTTGTGATGAGTATGGATTTATTTTTAATTTAGAGGTAGTATTCAACACGCACTGACATCGATTCGTTCCCTAACCGGGTAGTCGGTGCGTACTGCTGAGTTGTCCTATACTAGGACGAAACAGCTGTCCAGTGCTCCCAGATTTTCAATGGTTCCCCAAATGATATCAGCCCGTGATGAATACTACCTCTTAATTAAAAATCCCCATTCATCTCAAAAATATATTACTGTATAGTGCTACTTAGCGACTTGCTTCCAGATGGATATCACGAAGCTCTAATGAGAAGCCGTGAACTGTGCGGTTAACCAGTCTTAAGTGAAGCGGATGCTAACTAAAGACCTTCGGTGATAGTCACGCTATATCGCGAATTCACAGAAGTTGGAGTCTGTGAACTACTGAAAAACGATCCAGTAGCTGAGTGGCTAACGCGTCCGCCGTGAAACCAGAAGGTCCTGAGTTCTATCCTTGGCCCAGTCGTGGGTGCGTGCTACTGAGGAGTCCTATACTGGCACGAAACGTCTTTCTAGTTCTCCCAGATTTTCAATGGTTCCCCCAACTGATGTCATTCCGTAATGAATACTACCCCTAAACCTTTTTTCTGATGAGCACTGTTCACAAAGTTCAGTTGGCTGAATCGAAGTGAAGGAATGAGCTAACCATTTACGAACTCAAAATATTTATTACCTAGACAAACTTATCATGACTTCAGTAATAATTTTTTTCTATAATACCTATCGATACACTCAACTGAACTACTCATGTATCATTTCAACTTGATATTCACTCCCATCCACTGTTACGACCATAAAAGTCACTTCCTTCCCTTGATACAGTGTTGTCTAAGAAAATAAAAGGTGAGAAAATTAAAAAAAAGAAATTTTTTAGACGAATGAGCATTTTAATCTTGAGGTAGTATTCATCATGGACTGACATCAGTTGAAGAACCGCTTAAAATTAAAATCCCCATTCATCTTAAAAATATATTACTATATTAGTGCTCATGAATGGCATGCATCCACATGGATATCACGAAGTTCTAATGAGAAGCCGTGAAGGGAAGCGGATGCCATCTGAAGACCTTCGGTGATTATTATTTTATTATTATTAGTCCCTTGGGTTCCTAGTGGAACATAGGGCTTCAGTAGCACGCCTCCAGTGACCTCTGTTCTCTGAGATCTTTTGAACCTGGTCCCACGACAGCCCACAACCTCTCATTTCCTCCTCACACGACCTCCTCCATGTCACCCTCGGACGTCCAACTCGTCGCTTCCCATGGGGATTCCACTCGAGGGCCTGACGCGTGATGTCCTCAGTCGGCCTTCTCAGTGCATGGCCAATCCATCTCCACTTCTTCCTGCATATTTGTTGCATGATAGGTTCTTGGTTGGTTCGTTCCCAGAGTTCCTTGTTGCTTATCTTTTCTGGCCATCTGATCTTCAGCAGCGAGCGTAAGCAGTTGTTGATGAATGTCTGTAGTTTATTGGAAATACCTTTCGTGACGCGCCAAGTCTCTGAGCCATACAAGAGCACTGACTTGACGTTGGTGTTGAAAATCCGTATCTTGTTCCGCATGCTGAGTGCAGAAGATCTCC